AAGGCAGCCTCTGCTCTTGGTCCTCCTGCCTCCTGTCACCCTCCTGGGTGACAAAACCCCCCAAAAATCCACGTTCAGCCACCTGCAGACCACGAGCTCCAAAACCTGCTGCTGAGCCCTTCTGCTCAGCACATTTTCCTTTAATTTGGCTTCATTCCCAACATTTCCTCACTCCTTCCACTCCACACCTCCTCCTCCTGCTGGCAATGAGCGTTAATGGTACAGAACTCCGAGGGCTCCCCTCAAAAACCCCTTTATTTGCCAAGGAGATGAACAATTTTCATGGAATAATGGAACCCCAAATGGATTGGCTTGGAAGGGACCTCAGAGCTGATCTTGATCCAAACCCCCTGCCACAGATTCCTCCCCAGCTCCTGTCTCTGTTGTCTTCTGGATCTTCCAGCGCTCATAATTAACACATTTTCAATCTCTCCCACCTCATTAGTGCAAATGAACCCCACAGAAAGCGTGGGAAAGAGATCTGTAGAAAAATTTAAAAACTTGATAGAAAGTTTATATAGTGTGTATTTGTATGTAAACTTTGAGAAAAAAAAGTTAACTTAAACATATTATAAAAATAGAAATAGAAATATTATAAATAGTATACTAGTAGAAATATTATAAAATAGGATAAATATTGTTAAGAGAAGAATTGAGTTTAAAATAAGTTTTAAAAGATGGTTTTATTAAAAATAGTAGATATTTTAAAGAAATAGAATTATAAAAGAATGATAAAAATATATTCTATTAGAATTCATAAAGAGTAATTTCAGATAATTAGTTTTAAGACATTTATAATTTAGTGTGGTAAAAGTTGATAGGTTAAAAATGTTTATAGTGCACTGTACAGCCCACAGACCCCAAAACCCCTGGGATGGAGAAATGCCCAGCAGCAGCGAGCCCAGCTGGGCCAGGCAGCACTGGCAGAGCCAGAGCTCACAGCCTCCAGCTGCAGCAGGGAAATTCAGGCTGGATTTTAGGGAAAAGTTCTTTCCAGGAAGGTGATAAAGTTCTGGGATGGCTGCCCGGGGAGGTGGTGGAGTCACCATCGCTGGGTGTGTTTAACAAAGCCTGGATGTGGCACTGGGTGCCAGGGTTGAGTTGAGGGGTTGGGGATGGGATGGACTCGATGGGCTTGGAGGTCTCTTCCAACCTGGTGATTGTGTGAATTTTGTGAATTCTCTGATTCTGTGAATTCTGATCCCCACCTTGTCCCCAGCCCAGAGCTCTGAGTGCCACATCCAGGCATTCCCTGGACACCTCCAGGATGGGCACTCCAACCCTCCCTGGGCTGTGCCAAGGCCTGAGTGCCCTTTCCAGGCAGAAATTCCTGCTGTGCCCACCCTGAGCCTGCCCTGGCCCAGCCTGAGCCCATTTCCCCGTGTCCTGTCCCTGTTCCCTGGAGCAGAGCCCGACCCCCCCTGGCTGTCCCCTCCTGTCAGGAGCTGTGCAGAGCCACAAGGTCCCCCCTGAGCCTCCTTTTCTCCAGGCTGAGCCCCTTCCCAGCTCCCCCAGCCCCTCCTGGGGCTCCGTTCCCTCCCCAGCCCCTCTGGAAGGTGAATCCCTCTCCACAGCTCATTGCCCCATCGCTGCCCCTCTGCCAAACCGCAGCCTGGAAACCACTCACAACAACTCCTAACTCATTGTTTACATTCTTTCTACCCATTTTTGTGTTTCCTTCCTCCCTCAAAGAGCACAGCTGGTTTTTTCCCCTTCCAAGCCTTGTTTTCCCTGGAACTTTTGGCCAAGTATTGTTAAACTGCCCCTAGTTATTAATATTTCCATTCTTTATTTACTCAGCTGCAGCAGAGCAGAGCTCAGCTTTTCTGGAGTCCTTCCCTCTATTTATTTGGAGGTGCTGATGCTGCTGTAGGTGCTGATTCCCTGACACAAATCAAATTTAATCGAGCCCTGGTCCCCAGCACCCCAAGAGTGACTCCCTGGGGCCTGCAGCAATTCCTGTTTGGAGCTGAGTTCCAGCAGAAAACCTCCTCTGGTGGCAGCCCCCCTCACCTAAAGCCAGGGCAGGGGGTTTATTGTTGTTTTTGTTGCTTCACTGGTGTCACAGAAGCCCAAAGGCCTCACAGAAACCCAGGTGGGACCTTTTTGTCCCTGTGATGTCCACGGGATATCACTCTCCCCTGCAGGATTCCTGCACAGGTCAGTGTGGGAGTTCCAGAGCTGTCCTGGGAGCATCAGGCCCCATTTCCCCATCCTTTGGCTTTTTAGGGTGTTGGTTTTTACATTTCATTAGAGCTGTCAGCACCCAGCAGATGTCTCGGAGCTGCTGCCAGGAGTGTCCGGGCAGCTGCCCCCGTCCCCATGTCCCTGCAGGAGCTGTGATATGTCCCCATTGTCCCTGTCCCTGCAGGAGCTGTCCAGCCCTGTCCCCATGTCCTTGTCCCCATTGTCCCTGTCCCTGCAGGAGCTGTCCAGCCCTGTCCCCATGTCCTTGTCCCCATTGTCCCTGTCCCTGCAGGAGGTGCACAGCCCTGTCCCTGCAGGTGCTCAGCACTGTTCCCATGTCCCTGTCCCTGCAGGAGGTGCCCAGCCCTGTCCCTGCAGGTGCCCAGCCCTGTCCCCATGTCCCTGTCCCCATGTCCCTGTCCCTGCAGGTGCTCAGCCCTGTCCCCATGTCCCTGTCCCCATGTCCCTGTCCCTGCAGGAGCTGTCCAGCCCTGTCCCCATGTCCCTGTCCCCATGTCACTGTCCCTGCAGGTGCCCAGCCCTGTCCCCATGTCCCTGCAGGAGATGTGACATGTCCCCATTGTCTCTGTCCCTGCAGGAGGTGCCCAGCCCTGGGAAGGAAAAGGCAGAGATGGAGCAGGAAGGAAAGGCAGTGATGTGTTGGGAAGAGAAAGGCAATGCCAGGCTGGGAAGGAAAGGCAATGCCAGGATGGGAAGGAAAGGCAATGCCAGGCTGGGAAGGAAAGGCAGTGAATGCAGGGAAGGAAGAGGCCAGGAGCTTTTGGGGAGGAACAGACCATGAAGGAACAGACCAGGAGCTGTAGGGAAGGAACAGGCAATGCTGTGCACCACAGACAGTCCTGTCCCTGGGCTCTGATGCTGTGCTCCACAGACAGTCCTGTCCCTGGGCTCTGATGAGCCATTTGTTTGGAGAAGGGGATGAATTCCTGAGAACCCACTCCAGCTCTGAACTGAGCAGCAGCAGGACTGAGCCCTGGGCTCTTTCCAATCCGAGTGCAGCTGCCCCAAGGAAAGCAGAGCAGAGTTTATATCCCATGGACTCAGGCCAATCCCTCCCTGCACGGCACCAGGGCGAGCTCTGGGAGAGGGGGGAATCCTCAGGGAGCAGGAACTGGGGGGAACCAGCACAGAGCAAAGCAGCAATCAGCCCCAAGCTGGGCTGGGAGAGCCCAGAGTCAGCTACTGGGGCAGCTCTGGAGCTCTACACTGCTCACAGCACGAGGAAAAGCTCTGCAGCTCTCACCTGTCCAGCATTTTGGCAATTTAGCCTCCAGCCTTTCCTTGGGGAATGCCACACTGTTAAGGAGTGAGCAGAAGAGGCAGTCAGTGGGGCCTGGGCAGCACAGCCTGGCTGGGGTGGCACAGGGACAGGGACATCCCTGTCCCAGCACGGCCCCACTCAGGGCCTGGGGCACAGAACTGCTCCCAGAGGAATGTGGAGCTCAGATAAAAGCAGAGATCAGCTCCCCTCACCCTCAGGCTGCCAATGGCTCCATCCTCGTGGGAATGGGAGTGCTGCACTCTCCTGGAATTAGATCCCAGTGCTGCTCCCCCTCACCCTCTCCTACAGGTGTGAAGAGTTCTCCTCCAGCCTCTGTAGGACACTAAGATTTATTTGGAGACTCTCTTCAGTTTGTTTGGGATTTTCCTCTCGGTTTTTACTTGTGAGGTGAAACCTGACAAAGTGGGGAAGCAGAGTGACCTCAGGCTGCTCCAGCCAGCCCCAGTGCAGTGGTTTTCCACCAAACCCACCCCACCAGTGCTACAGTGAGGTCACAGCAACAGGGGGACAATGCCATGGATGTGAGGCCAAGGCCCCAGGAGCGGACCCACGTGTCTGACGTGGTGCTGTGCATCTAATTTAATTTACAATAAATGAGAAAACAGAGCCTGGTCCGACACAGGAGCAGAGACAGGTGCCACTGGTGGGGACAGGGAGGTGCCAGAGCTGCAGGCAGGACACAGCCAGGCCTGGCTCCAGCTGCACCAAACACCTCCTGCAGCTCTGAGACTCCTCACAAGCACAGATTGTCCAGAGAAACATTCCCAACACGGCAGTGAAACACCCGAGAGGCACTGCAGGCCCTGGGCTGCTCCCTGCCCCCAGCCCAGGGCTCAGGAGGGGCTCAGGAGTGAGGAGGGGCTCAGGAGGGGGTTCAGGGGTGGGGACGGGGCTCAGGAGGAGGCTCAGGGGTGGGGAGGGGGCTCAGAGCTGAGGAGGGGGCTCAGAAGGGGCTCAGGAGGGAGCTCAGGGATGGAGAGGGGGTTTAGGAGTGAGGAGGGGGCTCAGGGATGGGGAGGGAGTTCAGGGGTGGGGAGGGGGTTCAGGAGTGAGGAGGGGGCTCAGGAGTGAGGAGGGGGTTCAGGGGTGGGGAGGGGGCTCAGGAGGGGCTCAGGGTACTCACACAATGTGGGGCAGGTCTGGGGGGCTCAGGAAGGGGTTCAGGGGTGGGGAGGGGGCTCAGGAGGAGGCTCAGGAGTGAGGAGGGGGCTCAGGAGGGGGCGCAGGGCTGAGGAGGGAGCTCAGGAGTGAGGAGGGGGTTCAGGGTACTCACACGATGTGGGGCAGGTCTGGGGGGCTCAGAAGAGGGCTGAGGAGGGGGCTCAGAGCTGAGGAGGGGGCTCAGGGGTGGAGAGGGGGCTCAGGAGGGGCTCAGGAGTGAGGAGGGGGTTCAGGGTACTCACACGATGTGGGGCAGGTCTGGGGGGCTCAGGAGGGGGTTCAGAGCTGAGGAGGGGGCTCAGAGCTGAGAAGGGAGCTCAGGGGTGAGGAGGGGGTTCAGGGTACTCACACGATGTGGGCCAGGTCCAGGGGTCTCTCGGGCTGCTCGGGGAACAGCGGCCGGGGCGGGTCCCTGCTGGGCACGCAGCCCAGAGATTTGCTGATGGCGTGGCTCAGCTTCTTGGCCGGGGATTTCTGGGGAGCAAGCACAGGGGACAGGTGAGCACAGGGGACAGGTGAGCACAGGGGCCAGGTGAGCCCAGGAACCAGGTGAGCCCCAGCCAGGTGAGCCCCAGCCAGGTGAGCACAGGGGACAGGTGAGCCCCAGCCAGGTGAGCCCCAACCAGGTGAGCCCCAGCCAGGTGAGCCCAGGGGCCAGGTGAGCCCCAGCCAGGTGAGCCCCAGCCAGGTGAGCACAGAGGCCAGGTGAGCACAGGGGCCAGGTGAGCACAGGGGCCAGGTGAGCACAGGGGACAGGTGAGCCCCAGCCAGGTGAGCCCCAGCCAGGTGAGCCCCGGCACAGCTGCCCTGGGCAAAGGTGGACTCCCCATCCCCAGAGGGATTTAGAAGCCCTGTGGATGTGGCACTCGGGGACAGGGGACACTGGTGGCCTGGGCAGTGCTGGCATGGTTGGACTCAATGGTCTCACAGGGCTTTTCCAACCCAAAAGAATCCAGGATTCCATGATTTTTATAAATGTTACAAAAAGCACAGAATCAGCTTTCTGAGCTCCCTTCTTCAGCAAACTCACAGCCTTTGCCACATCCTTGGTAAAGGACATTTCCCCCCATCAGTGAAGGACACTCACCTTTCGCTCACATCTACCAACCCATACCCCAATAACCTGCTCCTGCTTCTCTCTCTTCCTGCATGGAATAATAAAACCCACGGCAAAGGCTGCCACCAGTTATTGTAAGGGCTTAGGGAATTAGAATTCTAAATCCTTCCAGGATGGGCACTCCACCCCTCCCTGGGCAGTGCCAAGGCCTGAGCGCCCTTTCCATGGGGAAATTCCTGCTGTGCCCACCCTGAGCCTGCCCTGGCCCAGCCTGAGCCCATTTCCTCTTTTATTCCATTTTCAGTCCCATTTCTCATTCCATTCAGTCTCATCTCTAAGGCATTTGTTAATTTAGTAGCTTTTAGCACACCACACTACAAATACCTTAAAGCAAATAATCTAAAATTACCCCTCATGGGTCCTGACACATCTTCCAAAGTTCTGCTTCTCCAAAGTACCTACTCTTATTTGTCAAGCTGTTTTTGAAACTTCTGTCTCCATTTCTCTCCCAACAACATCTCTCCTATTCCACAGCACTTTAAATCAACATTCCTTATCTCAAAGTTTACACACAAATACATCTACAAATAAATCTATTATGTATCTGTATGTACTATATGAACCTTAAGTCAAGTTTTTAAAAAATTTTCTGCAAATCCACTTGTGCCCGTGGCACAGAGCAGCCCAGATTAACCCTTGCTGCGCCTCAGGGACGCTCTGGTGCTGCTCTGGGGGGTGACTCCTCCCTGCCTGAGGCTCCTCACTGAAACCGAAACTGAAACAGCCCAGAACAGAAAATTTGGGAAGTGTTTCGAGGTTTCCACCCCTCCAAAGGGGCTTCAAAGAGCAGCAAAAACACTCCTTAAAAATAGGGTTTTACCTGAATTTCTGCATAGAAAATCACTATGCTTACAGAATTTAATGTATTTCATCACTGTTAAATATATAGATGTATATAAAATATCTCAATATTATGTGCAGCAAAAAATTACCAAAGGTACCTCAATTTCAGGAAAAAAGAAGCCATAAGTATGCACATAATAATATATTTTTTATATATATGTATGTCTGTAAATAATACGTATTGTATGTGAATATATACATATATATGTATATATGGTATGTAAATAACAATATATTTTGTATATGTATGTAAATAATAAATATTGTGTATATATATACACATATATGTAAGTATATATAAATATATATGTATATATTTTATGTATATATAGTATATAAATAATATATTTCTATTATATAAATATATTATATTATATACATAATATATAGATGTTATATATTTACATATATATATATACAATAATTACATATATATTATATATAATATTGACATATTTATGTATGTAAACAATAAATATTGTGTATATACATATATTTTTATATATGTATATATGTATATGTTGCATTGTATGTATGTATATATCATATATAAATAATAATATATTAATATTTATAGATGCAATAATGTTATCAATAAGTCTATTGATCCTATTTATCATAACTATGGGGATATTTATGATTAAGCTCCTGCTGGGTCATAGGGCTCCAAAACTTTAAAAAAAATATTAAAAGGATGGCCCTGGATGAGCTCCAATGTCCCTTCCCACCCAACCCATTGCATGTTTCCATCATTTGGACCTCTCTTTGTATTAAAAATCCCAGCCTGGATATTTAAATGCATTTAAGGGAATAATAACCTACTGTTAGCTGGGATTAAACATTCCAGAAGTTTATTACCCACAGAGTTATAAAAAGGACAATAGAATTTTCCTTTGCCTCCCGACTCCTGCCTGGTACTCAGCCCAGTTTTCTAAATTAAACAGTAATGCTCTAATGGCTCTTCCTTATGAAGATAACTATTAATTATAATCCTATCATCGTCTGAACTTCTCTCTGAATGAGGGAAAGCTTGGGCTTAATCTCCTGCCATAAAATAGGTTTTTCTCCATAAAACTGTCTGTAATTCCTTGAGCTGTGATTATCACCCTGCCATCAAACTGCACGTCACTGCTCAGGTCCCTTCTGTGAGGCTTCTTCATTCAGAGCTTCCAGAAACAGATTTCCAGCTGGCAGGAGAAGAAGAGAAAAAAGCAGCAAACCACTGGACAAAGGTCCTGTCCCGAGCAGAGCTCTGTCACTGGTTTGGTTTGCTGGGAGGAACAGGCACTACAAGAGATCAGCTGTAATTCCACACCCCTGAGGCTGGAAAAGCCCTCCAGGACCAGCCAGTCCCAGCTCTGAGGAATTCCTGGGACACCTCCAGGGATGGGCACTCCAAACCTCTGCCCCAGCCTGGAGCATTCCCCAGGAACAGCTTCACCCAGGAGGAACAGCCTCACCCAGGAGGAACAGCCTCACCCAGGAGAAACAGCTTCACCCAGGAGAAACAGCCTCACCCAGGAGGAACAGCCTCACCCAGGAGGAACAGCCTCACCCAGGAGGAACAGCTTCACTCAGGAGGAACATCCCCACCCAGGAGGAACAGCCTCACCCAGGAGGAACAGCTTCACCCAGGAGGAACAGCTTCACCCAGGAGGAACAGCTTCACCCAGGAGAAACAGCCCCACCCAGGAGGAACAGCTTCACCCAGGAGAAACAGCTTCACCCAGGAGAAACAGCCTCACTGAGGAGGAACAGCTTCACCCAGGAGGAACAGCTTCACCCAGGAGGAACAGCTTCACCCAGGAGGAACAGCTTCACCCAGGAGAAACAGCTTCACCCAGGAGAAACAGCCTCACTGAGGAGGAACAGCTTCACCCAGGAGGAACAGCTTCACCCAGGAGGAACAGCTTCACCCAGGAGGAACAGCTTCACCCAGGGGGAACAGCCCCACCCAGGAGGAACAGCCCCACCCAGGAGGAACAGCCCCACCCAGGAAGAACATCCTCACCCAGGAGGAACATCCTCACCCAGGAGAAACAGCTTCACCCAGGAGAAACAGCTTCACCCAGGAGAAACAGCCTCACCCAGGAGGAACAGCTTCACCCAGGAGGAACATCCTAACCTAGGAGAAACAGCTTCTCCCAGGGGGAGCGCCCCTGCCCAGGGGAAGTGCCCTGACCCCAAAAGGAAGCCTTTACCCACGAGGAATGCCACGACCCAGGAGGAATGCCATGACCCACGAGCAATGCCCCTGCCCAGGAAAAAACCCTTACCCAGAAGAAAGCCCTGACCCATGAGAAGTGTCCTGACCCAGGAGAAATGCCCCTATCCAGGAGGAATCCCCCTAACCCAGGAGCAATGCCCCTGCCCAGGAGGAAGCCCTGACCCAGGAGCAGTGTCCCTGACCCACGAAGAATGTCCCTGACCCACCAGGAGTGCCCCTGACCCACCAGGAGTGCCCCTGACCCACCAGGAATGCCCCTGACCCACCAGGAGTGCCCCTGACCCACCAGGAATGCCTCTGCCCAGGAGGAAGCCCTTACCCACGAGCAGTGCCCCTGCCCAGGAGCAGTGCCCCTGACCATGAGGAATGCCCCTGACCCAGGAGCAGTGTCCCTGACCCACCAGGAATGCTCCTGACCCACCAGGAATGCTCCTGACCCACCAGGAATGCCCCTGGCCAGGAGCAGTGCCCCTGACCCACGAGCAGTGTCCCTGACCCACGAGCAGTGCCCCTGACCCACCAGGAATGCCCCTGGCCAGGAGGAAGGCCTTACCCAGGAGCAGTGCCCCTGACCCACCAGGAGTGCCCCTGACCCAGGAGCAGCATCCCTGACCCACCAGGAATGCCCCTGACCCACCAGGAGTGCCCCTGGCCAGGAGGAAGGCCTTACCCAGGAGGAGTGCTCCTTCATCTGGTGCTGGTTGCTGTGGGGGCCGCTGGCGTGGCCCCTCCAGAAGCAGGACTGGCACAGCTGGTAGTTGTGGCACTGCTGGCAGCGGTACCTGAAGCCCATCATGCTCTCACAGTGGCAGTACGAGCACTCCACGGGGTGGAAGACTGGCACACGGGGGGAAGCACAAGGAAAAGAAAAGTTCCAGGGAATTTCTGGCAAACCTGGAGCATCCCACTTCCCTGGGGCTCCCAGACCCCCCCAGCTCCTCCAGCACTCAGTGTCTGGGCAGGATTTTGAGGGCAGAACAGGGAGTTTTGGTTTCATTAACCCTCAGGTGAAGCTGATGGTCAGGCAGCAGTTCCAGCTGACAGATTCTCACAATATTCCTTCTCCAGACATCTCCCTCCCTGGGCACACTCAGAATTCCCCAGGAAAGCTGAGGAAAGGTGGGGTCTGCCCACTGTCCCAGGCTCTGCCAGCTCCAATGTGCAGCCTGGCCTTGGGCACTGCCAGGGATCCAGGGGCAGGACAGATCCAGGGACTCTTGGGCACTGCCAGGGATCCAGGGGCAGGACAGACCCAGGGACTCTTGGGCACTGCCAGGGATCCAGGGGCAGCCACAGCTCTCTGGGCACCCTGTGCCCCTCACCACCCCTCCAGGGCACAATTCCTAATTCCCAATATCAGATGTAAATCTGGAGCCTCGCTGATTCTGAAATCAAAGGCTGTTCCCTACGGTGTCATATGCCAAATATGCTAATTGCTAATTAACTTCTAACAAAGCTGCAGCACACCAGGAGGATTTGGCTGGACTGTGCCTAAGGAGATCCCTGGGGCCCAGAGTCACCTCTTCAGAAAGGGCAATTCCTGCTCCAAGCCCCCTCTCACCCCCTGTCCTACACCTCCACAGCTTCCATGAGGAATTCCCAGTGTCCCTCTGAATCCATCCAGAGAGCTCAGATCAGTCTGACCTGCAGAGCACCATCAAGGGTGGGCTAAAACAAACACCAATAAATGCTTCTTCCCTGTTTTACCCATGTGAGGACAATCCTGCTCCACTGAAGTCTTTGAGAGAAACCAAAGAGGAATGTGAGCACGAGGGGAAGGAGCTGAGACCTCCCCATGGCAAATGCATCCTGAGATGGGAGGGACAAAACAGAACCAGGGCCTCACCTCTCTACCAGGGAACAATTCCCAATTCCCAATCTCCCACCCAGCCCTGCCCTCTGGCACTGGGAGCCATTCCCTGGGTCCTGTCCCTCTGTCCCTTGTCCCCAGTCCCTCTGCAGCTCTCCTGGAGCCCTCCAGGCCCTGCCAGGGGCTCTGAGCTCTCCCTGGATCCCCTCCAGGCCCTGCCAGGGGCTCTGAGCTCTCCCTGGATCCTTCTCCTCTCCAGGTGAGCACCCTCAGCTCTCCCAGCCTGGCTCCATGAGAAATCCTCCCCCACCTTGTCAGAACTGTCCCTTCTCCTCCCTGGCTCTGTGCAGGCAGCAGAGATTGCTGCAGATAAAAGGGAACAGAAACAGCACAGAGCCCAAACCCTGATATCCCAATGAGAGGAGCAATAACAACAACCCAAACCCTGATATAATGATGAGAGGAGCAATAACAACAATTCAAACCCTGATATCCTGATGAGGGGAAGAAACAACAACAATTCAAACCCTGATATCCTGATGAGGGGAGCAATAACAACCCAAACCCTGATGTCCTGATGAGAGGAGCAATAACAACAACCCAAACCCTGATATCCTGATGAGAGGAGCAATAACAACAACCCAAACCCTGATATCCTGATGAGGGGAGCAATAACAACAATTCAAACCCTGATATCCTGATGAGAGGAGCAATAACAACAACCCAAACCCTGAAATCCTGATGAGGGGAGCAATAACAACAACCCAAACCCTGATACCTTATGGAGGGGAGCAATAACAACAACCCAAACCCTGATATCCTGATGAGAGGAGCAATAACAACAACCCAAACCCTGATATCCTGATCAGGGGAAGAAACAACAACCCAAACCCTGATATCCTCAAGAGGGGAGCAATAACAACAACCCAAACCCTGATATCCTGATGAGGGGAGCAATAACAACAACCCAAACCCTGATATCCTGATGAGGGGAGCAATAACAACCCAAACCCTGATATCCTTATTAGAGGAGCAATAACAACAACCCAAACCCTGATATCCTGATAAGAGGAGCAAAAACAACGTTCTGATAACAGGTTCCACGAGGCACAGCAGGAACAGGGACAGGAACAGCACTCACTGTCCTGCACAGGGCACATCCTCACACTGATGGATAAGGAGAAGGCTGGAACAGCCAGGATCAGGGATTATTAGATCAGGGAACAGCAAGATGAGAACAAAAGACCTGGGGTTTTTTTTGGTTACCTGCAGGGTTTTTTTTTTGCTTTTTTCTTGCTTTGGGCTTTTTGCCTGTTTTTTGGTTTTTTTTTTTTGGTTTTTATTTTCTGTTGTTGTTTCCTTGGAGTTTGTTTGGTTTTGTGGGGTTTGTTTGTTTTGGTTTTTGTTTGGCTTTGCGGTTTTGGTGTTTTTGTTTGTTTGGTTTGGTTTTGGGTGATTTTTTGTTTGGCTTTTGTTTGTTTGTTTTGTGGTATTAATTTTTCTTTGTTTTGATTTTTCTGCAAGGGCCAAAGTTTAGCTTTGGATAGGGAAGACCCAAACGAAGGGGAGCAGCCAAGCTGGTCCCCTCCTGCTCCTGGCTGCTGCCAGGGAATGCCAGGATCAAATCAGGATCCCCTTTGTCCTGGAGTTCACCCAACATTTCAACCAGATCAACCTCCTCACCTCCTGGGCACGATTCCCCATAGGACTTGACCCCAGGAAATTGCCACCATCAAAATTAATTTAAAAATCCCAGGATCCCTGAGGCTGGAAAATCCCTCCCAGCCCATCCAGTCCAGCTGTGGCGAATCCCCACCTTGTCCCAGCCCAGAGCTCTGAGTGCCACATCCAGGAATCCCCTGGACACCTCCAGGATGGGCACTCCACCCCTCCCTGGGCAGTGCCAAGGCCTGAGCGCCCTTTCCAGGCAGAAATTCCTGCTGTGCCCACCCTGAGCCTGCCCTGGCCCAGCCTGAGCCCATTTCCCCGTGTCCTGTCCCTGTTCCCTGGAGCAGAGCCCGACCCCCCCTGGCTGTCCCCTCCTGTCAGGAGCTGTGCAGAGCCACAAGGTCCCCCCTGAGCCTCCTTTTCTCCAGGCTGAGCCCCTTCCCAGCTCCCCCAGCCCCTCCTGGGGCTCCCTTCCCTTCCCTGGACATGCTCCAGCCCCTCCAGGTCTCCCCTTGGCTGTTCCCTCCTGTCAGGAGCTGTGCAGAGCCACAAGGTCCTCCCTGAGCCTCCTTTTCTCCTTTCCCAGCTCCCTCAGCCTCAGGAACAATCAGATAATGTCACTTTTCTTCCACTAACTGCTGTGACAGTAAAATCCATGGGCTTTGCCCAGCCAGTCCCCACCCACATTCCCAGGAATGTGACCCTGTCAGGTCTGGGATGCTGTGGGACAGGACGATGAAGGCAGGAGCTGCTGCTCACAGGAGCAGGACAGAACATCCCCCGTGTGAGCAAAGCCCTGCTGGAGATGCATTTACCATTTTCAACGTGAGCCAGCCTGTGCATGAGGGGCAGCCACACAAGGCACTGGGGAGGAGGGTCGGCCATCAGCGTGTCCAGGAACATGTTGAGCATCACCTTCTTCTGCAGGGAGAGCACAGGGAGCTGCAGAGCCAAGAATCCATTGCACACCGCCACGGCCTCCCCAGCCCTGCCCTGCTCTGTGCTGCCAGGGGCATCCTGCCCTGCCACACTCATGGAATCAGGGAAGGGACCTGAAGCATCACCCAGTGCCACCCTGCCATGGCAGGGACACCTGCCACTGCCCTGCATCCCTGGCAGTGCCCAGGGCCAGGCTGGACACTGTGGGAATCCAGAGCTTCCCTCTGGCTGCCCTGGGACCCTGTCAGGGTCAGGAACCCCCCTGGACAGAGCCCCCAGAGACACTGGCTGTGATCTCTGTCCATGGAAAAGAGTTTTCAATCTTACAGGATGAATTACAAGCTTTGAGTGTTTGATAAGAGTAATAATTAAGTGTGGCACGGGTGCAAAAGTAAAATTTTAGGATTCTAGATTAGGGGTTTAAAGGGGACAAGATGGAGGAATTGGGTGTGTCTTGTCCCTTTTCTCCTTCTTCATGCCCTCCATGTTTCACTGTGCTGTTGGCATTTTTCTGTTGGTTCAGGCTGGGGACACACTGTTCAACGTAGGTGACAGATATTGGCACGTTATTGTAAATCCAGCACAGGTAGTTTGTGGTATTTAATGTTTGTACCATCCCACTGAGGGCAGAGCCCCACACGCTGCCCTGCAGGACAGAGCTGCGGCAGGGCAGCAGAACATGTTAGAGATAAACAGAATAAACAACCTTGAAACAGCACAGACCAATTATGGCTTCTGCTTTGGCAGCGGGGCTGACAGACAGAGACTTTCTACAATCTCAGAATCACCAACACCCACAGATTCCAACAGGACACTGGGGCTGGACAGTGGGAGGGGTCCCTGCCATGGCAGGGTGGCACTGGGTGGGATTTCAGAGCCCATCCAGCCTAAACCATTCTGGCATTCTGAGAACATTTTTGGCCAGAGGAGTTTAAACTTTTTAAGTCCCAGTGTCCAACCTGGCTTGGGCACTGCCAGGGATCCAAGGACAGGACAGATCCAGGGACTCTTGGGCACTGCCAGGGATCCAGGGGCAGCCACAGCTGCTCTGGGCACCCTGTGCCCCTCACCACCCCTCCAGGGCACAATTCCTAATTCCCAATATCAGGTGTAAATCTGGAGCCTCGCTGATTCTGAAATCAAAGGCTGTTTCCTACTGTGTCATATGCCAAATATGCTAATTGCTAATTAACTTATATTTAGTCACTATAAATTTTACATCAAATGCTGGAGAAATGTTTCTTCTGGAGCATCATCATCACCTAAACATTTAATTTTAGGCTTAAGATCAATCAAGTTCATGTTTACAGTTGATTTAAGGATTAGTTATATTATTTACATTACCTCAAACGAGAAACAAATCATTGGAACAATTAAAATACAATTGCAATGGATTTAAAAATAAACTGCTCACATAAGGTGTTTATTTTGAACAGATCCTGGAAATGACTTGTTGAAACTAATTGTCTTAACACAGTGAAAAAGCTTTGAAAAATCAAGGGAAAATAGTAAAAATGGCGTGGTTTAGGTTTTGGGAAAGAAATTAGTCATTCCTGATGTCTGATGGGGAATAGGGGTGGCCCTTCAAGGAGGGAAATCAACTGAAATGACAGAAAATCCTTCAATTCTTATTTTGGACTGTTTCAAAGTGCTTGGGTTGGACAGGGGACCTCAGTGACCCCCAGCCCCAATGCCCTGGGAATCCCAAATCCCAGATCCCAAATCCCTAATCCCAGATCCCTGATCCTGACTCTCTGATCCCAGATTCCAGATCCCAAATCCCTAATCCCAGATCCCAAATCTCAGATCCTGAATCCCCAGACCCCAAATTTCCAATCCCCAAATCTCACACCCCAAATCTCCTATCCCTAAACCCCAGACCCCAAATCCTCAATCACCAAATCCCTGATCCCCAAACTCCAGACCCCAAATGCCTGACACCAGACCCCAAATCCCTGATCCATCCCAGACCCGAAACTCCCGATCCCCAGACCTCAAATCCCCAATCCCAGATCCCAAATTCCTGATCCCCAAACCCCAGACCCCAATCCTCAATCCCAGACCCCAAATCCCCACTCCCAGACCCCAAATCCCCAATCCCAGACCCCAAACTCCTCACCTCCAAACCCCAAATCCCCAATCCCAGACCCCAAATCCCTGATCCAGACCCCAAATCCCCAATCCCACATGCCAAATCCCTGATCCCAAACCCCAAATTCCCGATCCCAGAGCTCAAACCCCAAATCCCAGACCCCAAACCCCGATCCCAGACCCCAAATCCCTGATCCCAAACCCCAAACTCCCGATCTCCAAACCCCAAATCCCCAGTCCGAGACCCCAAATCCCCAATCCCAAACCCCAAACTCCCAATCTCCAAAGCCCAAATCCCCAATCGCAGACCCCAAATCCCTGATCCAGACCCCAAATCCCCAGTCCGAGACCCCAAATCCCTCATCCCAAACCCCAAACTCCCGATCCCAGACCTCAAACCCCCGATCCCAGACCCCAAATCCCCGATCCCAGACCCCCAACTCCCAATCTCCAAACCCCAAATCCCCAATCGCAGACCCCAAATCCCTGATCCAGACCCCAAATCCCTGATCCAGACCCCAAATCCCAAATCCCAAACCTCAAATGCCCGATCCCAGACCTCAAACCCAAAATCCCAGACCCCAAACCCCAAATCCCAGACCCCAAACCCCAAACCCCAATCCCAGACCCCAAACCCCAAACCCCAGACCCCAAACTCCCAATCCCAGACCTCAAACCCCAAATCCCAGACCCCAAACCCCGATGCCAGACCCCAAACCCCAAATCCCAGACCCCAAACCCCAAATCCCAGACCCCGATCCCAGACCTCAAACCCCAAACCCCAGACCCCAAACCCCAAATCCCAGACCCCAAACCCCAGTCCCAGGCCCCAGAGCCCACCCCATACCTGCTGGGGGAAGCAGGTGCGCACCGAGTGCTCCGTGTAGCCGAAGGAGGGCCCCTCGAACACGGCCGTGGGCAGCTTCAGCACCTCCCTCAGGAACTGCTCAAACTTGGGGAAAACCAGCAGCCCGTTGGAATCTGAGATCTGAGAGAAAATATCTGTAAGAAAATACAATAAAGCCCCCCAGTAAATACGGGATCACTGCGGGAACGGGTCCCTTGTGCCCCGCGGGGTTCCCTGAGCTGGGCTCTGAGCAGCGCTGCTCCAGGACAGTGTTTATCACTGCTCCCATCCCTGCTCCCTCCATCCCACCCCCCTGAAACGTAAACTTTAAGGCATTTAGAGATTTTGAGGAGCTAAGATTTTAGTTAGAAATAAGCCTTACTAGAGTTAATTAAAATAAGAATAATAAATGAGTAGGCCTTGATGAAGTTAGGAGTTAGTAGGTAACTAATAATTGATTGCTTGTCAGCACAATGTTTAGTTAGCTGGGTTTATAATGAAGAATATAGAAACTGATAAATAGCTTTTAGGAACATAAGACAGTTGTGGGCCTCCTCTGTTCTGAAACCAATTGAAGACAGGAATGGGAGTTCTACCAAGAGTTCATTTGTCATATTTGCATTGAAAAGGTAGAAAGGTCAGAACAAGGAAGACTTCATTTACTTCCTCATTTTGGGACCCCTCCCCATAAAAGGGACACTGACCCATTTCAAGGGACAAACCACGCATGCTGAATGGATTTTGGAGTGATCAGCATACGAAGTGGGGAATGGGATGTACCAAAATTATGAAATGTATTTGTATTTTGGGTATTCAATACTTGTATGGATAAAAAGACTCTGTAATCACCTGGAAGGTGTGGTGTGTATTTGGGAGTGACCCCACACACAATAAACATACACTTTCTAACTTTAAACTGTTAGAGAGTTTTTGTCCGTCACAGTTGGATATCGATACTAGATCAATATCCATATTTTTTAATAAATCACCAGGGCACAGCTCCTGCCCTGGGAGCTTTGGGACAGAGAGGGAGCAGAGCAGGAGAACTCCACAGGAGCACAGCTTGAAGCTGGAGCTACAGAAACCCCTCAGAGGAGGCTCAGAATGGAACACAGCTCCAACATGCCACAGGCACAGCTGGCAGAGCTCCAGGGAAATGCAAACTGAGGGCATGGGGGGATGGCAGGGGCACAACATCCCAAAATCCCTGGGACTGAAAATCCCAATCTGCGCCCAATCCCCACCTTGTCCCAGCCCAGAGCTCTGAGTGCCACATCCAGGAATCCCTCCAGGGATGTGACACCTCCTTGAGCAGCCCCTGCCAAGGCCTGAGCCCCTTTCCAGGCAGAAATTCCTGCTGCTGCCCACCCTGAGCCTGCCCTGGCCCAGCCTGAGCCCATTTCCCCGTGTCCTGTCCCTGTTCCCTGGAGCAGAGCCCGACCCCCCCTGGCTGTCCCCTCCTGTCAGGAGCTGTGCAGAGCCACAAGGTCCCCCCTGAGCCTCCTTTTCTCCAGGCTGAGCCCCTCCCCAGCTCCCCCAGCCCCTCCTGGGGCTCTGTTCCCTCCCCAGCTTCACCAGGAGGAAGCTGAGCACAGAGCTCATCCCCAGGAACTGCACAGGCGGCCAGGTGGGAAGGGGAATCAGATCCCATTTTGGATCTGAGATATTGGGAATTGGGAATTGTTCCCTGGCAGGGTGGGCAGGGCTGGGATGGAATTCCCAGAGCAGCTGTGGCTGCCCCTGGATCCCTGGCAGTGCCCAAGGCCAGGTTGGACACTGGGGCTGGGAGCACTGGGACAGTGGAGGTGTCCCTGCCATGGCAGGGGTGGGATTTAATGGGGTGGAATGGGATGTAATGGGGTGGGATTTAATGGGGTGGAATGGGATGTAATGGGGTGGGATTTAATGGGGTGGGATTTAAGATCCCTTCCAGCCCAAACCATTCTGAGATTCTGAGAACATTTGTGATGAGAGGAGTTTACAGTTTTTAAGCAGCTCTGTGAGGACAGAAGGGGCTGAGCAGACGTTCCCTGGTGTTTTAAGGATGGAAGGAGAGGAGGGAGGTGCTGCAGTGCCCCACTCCCTGTCCCTGGGGGTCCCTGGGGGTCCCTGATCCCCTCCCCAGAGCTGCACTCCAGCAAAGGCTGGTCCAGGGGCAGGATGCAGAGCAGGAGAGGAGAACCCTGTCCCAGCAAACAGAACCATCCTGGATCCAGGATCTCCTTGCAGAGGTCTCTCAGCAGCCCTGCTGCACGCCCAGAGCCTGCACTCTGCAAAGGGAGGCTTCACCCATGCAAACACGGCCTAGAACTGCCCAAAATGTGACAGATCCCAGATCTCCTCAGTGGCACCGAACCCTCTGTGCTGTTATTTCAGGCACCATCAGTAAATAAACATCAAAAAGCTCATGCTGGCAGAAAATAACCTTCATTTCAGTGATCAAAACCAGCTCCAGAAAAAAAGGCACTTTCAGAAAGGCACATTTCCAGTAAACTGGAGAAATAATCCAAATTTCCTGAAAGAATGAGCTCAGGAAGAAGCCTGCAGTGCCTTAGTCAAGAGGGATAAAGCTGCCTGGAATTTGTATCACTGACTGAACAGAGCACCTTGAACTGAAGGTCTCTTGAATAATGTTATAAAATAAAACATATTAGGAGGAATGGGGAGAAAAAGAAAAAAAATATTTTAAATGGTGGATTTGTGTATTTTAGAAAAATAAGCCAGCCAGAAAAATTAGACTTAACCTAGAAGCTGAATGTGGGAAAAAAGTCAGATGAAAACCCACATAAAACGAAAACAATGGAAACAACTAAAATTAGAGAGCCAGAATTCCAGAATCCATGTCCACTCTGGAGCAGAATCCCTGCAGAAGCGGCCCCTGCACGGGAGCTGAAGGTCTGCAGAGACCCTGGCAGGGTGGGATGGGTGGGACATGACACAATTGTGTTTGAAATGGCTGAAACCTCCTGGCTGTGCTCAGGACATTCATCTGAGCTGAGCAGACAGCGGGAGTCAAGTGATCCTAAAGAGAGAGAAATTCAAAGTATGGAAATCTGAAAATGAGAGAGGACAGCCCAGGCTGTGCCAGGGGAAATTAAAAACCTCTCCAAACCCCACCAACGTCTGCCTTGCAGTGAAAAAATTGAGTTTTGTCAAAGTGGGAAATTTCCACACGGGGAACTGGCAGTGAAATCAGAAATGATAAAAAGCAGGATGGAATGATATCCTTTCAAAGGGTGACAGGATGAGAGGGAACAGCCTCAGGCTGAGCCAGGGCAGGCTCAGGCTGGACATCAGGAGGAATTTCCCCATGGAAAGGCTCAGACCTTGCAGGGTCTCTCCAGGAAGGGCTGGATGTGGCACTCAGGGCTCTGGGGACAAGGATTTTCCAGCCTCACAGATCCTGGGATCCCTGCCTTGCACAGACCCACAAGGAGCTGCTCTGCAAGGAGAGCATGTCCCAGGAAATTCCAGAGCCAGGGAAGGGCCCCACTGAAGCTGCCCCAGTCCCTCTGTGCCACAGGGACACTCCCAGGACACCGTCCTGCCCCCATCATTCCAGGGACCACGGGATGAGAACACTTTCAAAACACAACTCCCAGGACTGCAGAGAGCTCCAGCCTGCTCAGGGAAGGGAGGCTGGGCTGGGACAAGGAGATTTTGGGGGTGAGGTGGGTCAGTAATCAGGGAGACATGTGGGAAATGGATTTGTAAGGAATAAAACAAGACTAGATATTTTACAGAATTAGAACTATGAAAAATACATTGCAGTGAGACAATATGGAGAAAAAATAGAGGTGATTAGTGTTAGAAGTAGCAGCAGCATTGTGTAGCAAAAGCTAAAAACATTTCTCAGGTATTGTAACCATGAAATAGGCTGGCTTCTGATGGAATTGCACTGAGTTTTACATCTCTTGTTTCTCACTATTCACCGAGACTGGTAACAGAATAAAACCTTTTTAAAACGCCTCTCAGTTACCCTGTCCCTGTAAAAGCTGGGAAAACCAACAGGAAAGAGAGGGGAAAGCAAAGCAGCACAATCATGATGCTCAGAAGAAATCCAGACCCAGGGAGCAGCTGAGGCAGGTGCCTCAGAAGCCTGTTCCCCCCCGAGGGAATGTGCTGGGCAGGCACATTCCCTCCCTGGAGCTCTGCTGGATCTGCCTGCAGTGCAAGTGGCTCCAGGAGCAGCCAGGGGTGAGGGGGTTTGACACCCACCACACCTCTGGGAGGTTAAAGCAGAGCTGTTCTCAGCCTCTCCATCTGCACTGCTCACTGCAGTGCTCCTGCAGGAGCCCCGGGGTTCCTGTCCTGAAGGGGAAGGAGCAGCTCTTTGCAGTTCCCCATCTTGCTCAGGATTTTCCAGAACTCTTTCACCACCAGTTTTCCCTCCAGCTGGAGGAATCCTGCTCCACGTGCTCGTCCAGCAGGATTTGGGCTGTGGGTCAGCAGGGCTCAGGGCAAGGGACAGGGCTGGGAGCACCCTGGGACAGTGGGAGGTGTGTCCCAGGTCCCTTCCAACCCAAACCATCCTGGGATTCCACCTCAGCAGCTGGAATGACACAGTGAGAAGGTGCAGAGAGCCTCAGGGGAAGCAGGAGATTCACAGGAGCCTCCAACATCCTCAGTGCAGGGAAATTCCCTGAGACATTCCCACTGGAAAACCAGCCCTCAAGTTCTCCATTTAAAAAAGTGCCCAAGAGCTTAGATTAAAGGAATGGGCTTGGGAAAACTCCTCAGTGCTGGGCTTGGGATAACCAGGAGCTAGAACATGGAACAAACATCCCTGGAGCTGTCCCAGGAAGGCCTGGATGTGGCACCCAGTGCTCTGGGGACAAGGTGGGGACTGGGCACAGCTTGGGATGGGATGGGCAGGGAGGGATTGTCCCACCTTAGTGACTCTGGAATTCTGGGATTTACAGCACAGCTCCAGCTCAGCGCAAAGATGACGGAATCAGCAAAACAAACCCCCTCCAGAACCCAACACAAGAAACACAGGAAAGGAAAGAGTCCATAAAGGCTGGGAGTCCTCAGGGTACTCACATCTGAGCTTGTCCAGGATCTTGCCCCCGCACATGGTGGCCAGCATGGCTTTCACTGAGAACACCGTCAGCTTCCCGTGGCCCTCGCTGCAGGGAAAGGCACCGTGAGAGCTGCACAGCAATGGAAACACAACCACCCCAGAGCCCCAGAAACCAGGGGAGGAACAGCAACCACCACCCCCAGCAGCTGCCAGCACCTCAGATAACCTTAACTCCATCTGCTGGCCAGGGAACTTGGGCTGGCACGGAAAATACAGAGATGGGGAAAGCACAGGGTGAGTGTGGGGAGAGCTGGAAAAGCAGAATTCCCCTGAAGGGCTGAAATTCCTCCTCAGGGCACCAGCCAGGCAGAATTCCCAGGAAGGGCACCCTAGGCATTGCCCAGAGCAGCTGTGGCTGCCCCTGGATCCCTGGAATGCCCAAGGCCAGGCTGCACACTGGGTTGGAGCAGCCTGGGCCAGTGGGAGGTGTCCCTGCCATGGCTGGGGTGGCACTGGATAACTGGTACAGTCCCTTCCCACCCAAACCACTCCAGGATTCTGGGATTGTACCTGCCAAGGGGAATGCTGAAGGTTCTGATGGTGCCACCAGCACGCTCTGTGAGAGCCCTGTGACTCTGAGCATTCCAGCAGCACGGGGATTGGCATTTTTATACATTTTTATACATTTTTATGCAAGGCCTGCCTGCCCTGCTGCTGAGCTCCTGGAGAGGGAGCCTGAGCCCTGCTCTGCCTCTGCCCTGCCCACACACAGCACACAGCGAGGCACAGAGCTGCTGCTGCTGCTGGGAGTCCAGACAAGGGAGAGCTGGCAGGGCTGGGGGAAAGTGGGGAACAAAACCCTACCTCTAACTAAAGCCTCCATCTTCTGAGGCAAAGGTGACCATTCCTGGGTTTAAATCCTGTAATTTCAGTGTGAGCTGTCTGAGAGTAACCAAACCCTCAGCCAAGCCTTACAACTTGTCCTAACTAGGAGCAAGCAGGGCTGAACAGAAACTCCCCTGGGTTCTGCTGGCACAGGAGCTGCTCTGAGCTTTGTGCTGGGTTTATTTGTCCCCAGTGAGGCAGGGACTGTGCTGGACTCTCTGAGGGACACACACAGCTTCTGTTTGGTGGCAGTAATTGTCCCATCAGGAGAGGATCAAAGTTTGGGCATCACAAACAGAATAATTGTTTGGCACACTCAGTGTTGGGCACTGCCCTGGCTAAATCCCCTCTGTGGGGCAGAGGCAGAAGCCAGATCCCACAGAATAAAAAAGCTGATTTGGAGAAAGGCAAGAGCCAAGGTAAGAAATGCCAACCACTGCTGCTCAGAGAACACAGAGGGACACAGCTACTCAGGATCAGCAGAGCAAACCCTGCAGACAGAGGCTGTGAGGCAAACACGTAAAACTGGGCACGAGCAGGTGCCTGGACAGAACCCTGAGCAAGAAATGAGAATCAGCTTTATGGGGTCACAGCATGAGGGGGCTGCAAACTGACAAGACTGAGTTAAAAAAGGGTTTTTTTGAGCAAGATTCAACAAAACACATTCACTTTTCCAGCACTGCTAAGCCCCCAGGAGGCAGCAGCAGGGTCTGAGCCCAGCCCCAGCAGTGCCAGGAGCCCCTCAGAGGGCAGCCCTGGGCACACTGCCCTGCCCAGGCAGCACACAGGGGCAGCACTGGCCTGTCATAGGCTGCCAGCATGAAGTTGAGCAGCAGGCTGATGGACTGCTCCACGCTGATCTGGTGGGTGGAGGGCAGGCGCTTGTTCAGCTGGTAGTAGATGGATGAAATGATGGTTTCCAGCCGGGACACGTTGATCTCCGTGCTGTGATCCAAGGTGTTAAGGCCATTGTCTCGGAAGGCTTCAATCATGTTCCAGATATCAACAAGGTGAACTGAAAAACAGAGGAAAAACCACTCACTTCTGCTCTGCAAGGCATGCAAGGCCAGAGATGGCAACAGCCACTGTGCACAAAGTGAGAGGCTGAGCTCCTCCAGGGACACAGCAGTGCCCAGGTGTGCCTTTCACTGCTCCCTTCAACACCTGGCTCTGTCACAAACAGCTCCTGCAGGAGCACAGCCCTCCCCTGAGCATGCAGGGTTTCAGCCAGCAGCCACAATCCCTCCCTGGCAGGGTGGGCAGGCCCTGGCACAGCTGGGGCTGCCCCTGGATCCCTGGCAGTGCCCAGGGACAGGCTGGGCAGAACTTGGAGCAGCCTGGGGCAGTGGGAGGTGTCCCTGCCATGGCAGGGCTGGCACTGGATGGGCTTTAAGGGCCCTCCCCAAACCCAAACCATTCTGGGATCTGATGATGCTCTAAATCCACTACAAACTGTTGACAGTAATTTTGAGCACCCTCATGCTGACTCGTAGAGTGCTGAAGGAGGAACTTGATGTTCCAGTTAAACTCTGACAGTTTCCAGCTGATCCAGTTCCCAAACCCAGAGCATAATATTTTATAAACACAGGTCTGGGGCTCCAAAGCGTTCCCCCAAATTTCCCTGCTGTATCCAAGGGGTGTTAACAACGTGCAGAAAACCTTTTCCAAACCACAGCAAGTGATCTGCAGAACCACATGAAACAATATCCTGAAATGTTTCCAAGCTTTGAGGTTTGCAGGAACGTGGAGAAGACATCTAAGGATCAGCAGCCACCCAAGCTGAGCACCCAGAGCTGGGACACAGTGACATTTAGTGTTCTGTTCTTTTGAGAGTTTTAAAGTTCTTCTAAAAGTTTCTTATGTCTTTTGATGTTTACATATTTCTACTGAATTTTCTCACACTGTTCATATAAACAATTATTGTTTTGCATTCTTCTTTGTGGGAGGAGAGAATTGATGGACTGTTGGTTTGACCCTCCCATCCACTGTCACTTTTGCTATTGTACATATAGTGGAGTCAGAAAATAAAGTTTGGGTTTTTTTGAGGTTTTTTTCTTCTTTTTTACATCTAGCCTGCTCCTGTGAGTTGTTTTGTGCTGTAGTGTAACAACACTCACTGCTGGGTGCCCCACAGAAGGGGCTGCACTCAGTGTGAGCTCGTGCCTTCCTCCCACTGACCTGCTCTTGTATTTCCCCCCAAAAACCCCCACAAGGACCAAGGCCAGGCTCTCCCAGCCCCTGGAGCAGCCTGTGAGCAGGGAGAGCCCAGAGCTGCCCGGCCCCATCCCAGTGCCCTGTGCAGAGCTCTGCAGCTGGCACTGCTTTGTGCCCTGTGCTGGCAAGCAGAGTTTAAACCCTCAACCTGCAACACAGCCAGGAGCTAACGCTGTGTCCAGGGCTGAGGCAGCCACCAGCACAGGGATCTGGGGCAGGGCACCACCACAGCCCAGGGACACAGCAGGGACACATGTCCTGCTGGCCTCCTCCTCCTCCTCAGCCCTTCTGCTGGCCTCCTCCTCAGTCCTTCTGCTGGCCTCCTCCTTCTCCTCTCCTCAGCCCTTCTCCTGGCCTCCTCCTCCTCCTCTCCTCAGCCCTTCTGCTGGCCTCTTCTTCAGCCCTTCTCCTGGTCTCCTCCTCCTCCTCCTCAGCCCTTATCTCCTGGCCTCCTCCTCCTCCTCAGCCCTTCTCCTCCTCCTCCTCCTCTCCTCAGCCCTTCTGTCCTGGCCTCCTCCTCCTCCTCCTCAGCCCTTCTGTCCTGGCCTCCTCCTCCTCCTCCTCAGCCCTTCTGTCCTGGCCTCCTCCTCCTCCTCAGCCCTTCTGTCCTGGCCTCCTCCTCCTCCTCCTCAGCCCTTCTGTCCTGGCCTCCTCCTCCTCCTCCTCAGCCCTTCTGTCCTGGCCTCCTCCTCCTCCTCAGCCCTTCTGCTGACCTCCTCCTCCTCCTCCTCCTCAGTCCTTCAGCTGGCCTCCTCCTCCTCCTCTCCTCAGCCCTTCTCTCCTGGCCTCCTCCTCCTCCTCAGCCCTCCTCCTCCTCCTCCTCCTCCTCCTCAGCCTTCTCTCCTGGCCTCCTCCTCCTCCTCCTGCTGCTCAGCCCCCTGCAGTTCCTGTGCCCTGGGATTAGGGATCTCCTCCCACACATTTTCCTGCTCGGCTCTTTGCTGTGTCCAGCTCAGCAGGGCCAGGGCACAAAATGCATCCTGCTCACCTGGCATTCACCTGGGAGCCATCCAAGGTCAGAGCCCACAGCAGAGAAGGGAGAACCTGCACTGCCCAGAGCTCTCCATGGTCACAGGTGTCCCACATGTCCCCACAGGGACAGTCCCTGTCCCTGTGGGGACATGTGGGACACCTGTGACCATGTCCCTGTGGGGACATGTGGGACACATGTGACCATGGAGACTGTCCCTGTGCTCACTGGGGCTGCCCTGGGCTTCCCTATGAGCAAACAGCCCCTGACACAGCTCAAGACCATCAACACCCAGCTCTGAGGGCACAAAACACCACAAAACACCTTTGGACTTCACATTTTCTGAGCACTGAAGAACAAATGTGAAGACATTACAGAATATGGGGCAAAGCCCGCTGCCTCTTTCATTCCTTACTCAATTCTAGATTAGATCTCTGTTAAACACAGCTGGCAGGGCCTGACCCTGCACTGCAAGGGTGCAGCCCTGCAGCAGCCCTGCAGCAGCCATGCAGCAGCCATGCAGCAGGGGAGGAGGAGGCTGGCAGCACTCACGGTTGCACCTCTTCTGCACGAAGCGCAGCTTGCAGGCGGTTCTGTACGTGGAGAGACGGATCACGTCGAAGTTCTGGGCTCCTGCAACAAACCACAGCTGGGGCTGGGCTTCCCTGCAACAGCCACTGCACTGCCTGAGCCCAGCACACCCCTCTGGCTGCCCCAGACCCTGGCAGGGGGCTTGGGGACCCTGGCATGAAGTCAAAAACACCTGTGGCTTCCATTTTAGCCCGTGTAAAACTCTCAATTTTGTATGAGGAATTACAAGCCACAAGGGTTTGAGTAGTGTGGTAGTTGGATTAACACAGGGTGGAAAAGTAGAATTTTGGGATTTTTAGTTCAAGGGGGTACAAGATGGAGGAATTTGGGTGTGTCCTGACCTTCTCATTCTTCTTCTTGCCCTCCCTGTCTTGGTGTGGTGGTGACACTTTTCTGTTGGTTTAGGATAGGGACACACTGTCCAACACAGGTGTCAGATATTGGTGCATTGTTATAAACAGTCTGTATGTAACTTTTGATATAAAAGGCAAACACTGCCCAGAGGGCACACAGAATGCCATGGCCTCCTTTCTGGCCAGAGCTCAGCAGGGCAGAGCAACAATGCTTAGGTAAGAAGAAATAAACAACCTTGAAAGCACAATGGGACACATCCATGTTCCCTGCCCACCCTGCCAGGGAACAATTCCCAATTCCCAATCTCCCACCCAGCCCTGCCCTCTGGCACTGGGAGCCATTCCCTGGGTCCTGTCCCTCTGTCCCTTGTCCCCAGTCCCTCCCCAGCTCTCCTGTCAGCTCTTCCATGTGCTGTGAGGCTGCAGTTGGATCACCCCAGAGCTTTCCCCTCTCCAGGCTGGACACTGGGACACCCTGGGACAGTGGGAGGTGTCCCTGCCATGGCAGGGGTGGCACTGGGTGGGATTTAAGGCCCTTTCCCACCCAGACCACTCCATGAGTCCATAACAATGCTATTCTGGAAACAAACCAGTATAAATATGTAGTTTTAAGTCAGAGCTCCCTCGGTCTGTAACTGGAATTAAGGACATGCTGGCCTAGTCCAGGAATTCCCTTCAGCCCCGACTCCTGCAGGACAGCAGGATAATGTGATGTCATGCAAACACCAATTCTTAACTCCTCTTTTCCAGAGGAGGATCCTGCACAAATCAGCCCCCAAACCATGCCTCGAGTCACACCAGCACTGCAGGGCCATTTTTTAATCTCTTCTTAAGGCCTAAGGTGCTCTGACTGCTGTCACTACTCATTGAAATAGTTCTCCACAAACCTTAGGCACTGGCATAGATGAGAGATGTGAACATTCCCTAAGGAAGGAGCCCCCCAAAACCCAGGGAGCTGTGACTCCCCTTGGCCCTCTCCTCCTGAGCAGCCCCCAGGAACAGCAGAATGATTTTCCCTGCCTGGGGCTGGGGGACAGGAGGGGGATGATCTGCTGCAGCTGTCCCAGGGAAGCTCTCAGTGAAGAAGCAAAGGCATCATGTCTTCAGATTTCCTACTTACTCATTTCCATGAACAGCTGCCTCTTCTCTGCCATGGTCCTCCTCCTCTTCCCACTCTCCTCAATCATCCTGGAGACAAAAATGGCAAGCACTGTTTGTGTTAGGATTCTGTTACAAGAGCAGCAGATTCTGTCCCTCAGTGGGAGCAGTCGGATTCTGTTTGGGGACTGGGGATTCCAGGACACAGACAGACACCTCTCACCCTTATCCCATTCCACACACACACCTCAGGCTTGTTAACACCTTCCAAGGCAGGGCACGGCACAGGAAACATTAATTCAACACTTGAATTGCTTCACCTTGCAAAGCCCAGAGCTGCACTGATACATGCAGGAATATCCCATAAAGAATTGCTCTGTGTTCTGAGCCAGAAAAGGGAGATGCTGCACTTAGAGACTCTGGGGCTCAGCAGGAACAAGCTCAGCCCATTCCCTTCCCTGGCTGACAGAGTTAGTGACCCCTCTTCCCTGAAGGACCACAGAATCCTTTAGCTTGGAAAAGGATTGGTGGGGATATTTGGTTTGGGAGAATGCTGGCTTTAAACAAAACTTGTTAAAATTAATTTCACTTTCAGCCCCAACACCTGAGGTCCCATGGGATTTGTCAGGGAAGTAAAGAACTTCAAACTAATTAAGTTGAAATAAAACCGGTTTGGTGACAGAGGGCTCCCTTTCCTGGGAAAACAGATTAAAAGAGTGACAGGAGCAGGGAGCAGCTTGTACCCCAAGGTAAGGGGGCACAGGGACAATTCAGCAGCTCTCAGGGCTTATCTCACTACACAGTCTCAAAAGATGCCAAATTTCAGTCCACTGCAGCAAAAAAAAAGGAAAGTTAAATCAGCAACAGTGTGAAATTTAATTTATAATTCAACTAATTATTACATTGTTCCTTGATTACCAAATTCACCAACTTAAAAACCATTAAATATAGGTTTTATATGTCTAACCCCAAAAAAAGACAAAAATCCCAACAACTCTCCTACAGTTGCACGCAGACTGCAGGAGGCAGCTGGCTCAGCCCAGCCTGAGATGGCAGCAGGAGCAGCAGCCGTGCCTTGGCACTGGCACAGCTCCCTGAGCAGCAGTCCCTGGGCACAGCTTGGCACTGCCCGAGGTCCTGGGGGAACCCCAGAGCCCACCTCAGCAAGGAGAGAAGCACGTGGGCTCTGCTCTGAAAACCACACTGCACTGCCATGCTTTGGAAAGCCACAGACTCACAACCAAAGGCTGCTGTGTCTTCACTCTATTTGTTTTACAGGAAGAAGCCTCAGTGATATTTTTTATGACTTGCAGAAGTTGGGTGTTTTGGGCACACGAGCTTCCAATCCCATCTCATTCTCCACAAAGCACCTGACACCTCCTTCCACCCCCTTCCCCAGAGGTTCCTCATCCAGGGAATCCCAGAATGGTTTGGGTGGGGAGGGACCTCAGAGCCCATCCTGTGCCACCCCTGCCATGGCAGGGACACTTTTCCCTGTCCCAGGCTGCTCCAAGTCCTGTCCAGCCTGGCCTTGGGCACTGCCAGGGATGCAGGGGCAGCCAGAGCTGTCCTGCTCAGCCTGGCACAGAGCAGAGCTCCCATCCCATACCAGGATGGGAGCCCCAGAGGTCATTGCCAGTGCCTGGACACAGCAGCCAACGCTGCCACACACACACACAATTCCTGGCTGAAGGGGACAGAGTGGCCAAGACAGACACAGCTCCATTCAGGGGACAGGAGTGTCACCCTCTGTGCCCTCTGCAAGGAAAAGGAGGGGCTGAGCTCTTTCAAACCGCCCCTGAAATGAGACTTGAACGAGGGATCTGCTCTCTCCACGATCCCAGAGCCCTTCAGCAGGAAAATCCCTCCCAGCCCATCCAGTCCAACTGTGTCAATCCCCACATTGTCCCCAGCCCAGAGCTCTGAGTGCCACATCCAGGAATTCCCTGGACACCAAACCCACCTGGGCAGCCCCTGCCAAGGCCTGAGCGCCCTTTCCAGGCAGAAATTCCTGCTGCTGCCCACCCTGAGCCTGCCCTGGCCCAGCCTGAGCCCATTTCCCCGTGTCCTGTCCCTGTTCCCTGGAGCAGAGCCCAACTCCCACATTACTGCCAGATATTTGGAAAAGTGGTGGAAATGAGGTTCTATGAGAATAATTGACAAACCTGTTTCTAATCCCTGAACCACCAGGCACAGAAGGATCCCTCGGTGATGAGGAAGAAGGAAGATGGGGAGTCTTTCTCAGCTTCAAAACAGGAATGAACCAAACCCACAAGAACTGCAACTATGTTTGGGATGCAAATTACAGTGCTCAGCTCCCAAAGCAGGGAAGGGAAACAGCAGCTTGGCCTGAGCTGGTTTGGTTTGTTGGGTTGGGTTCTTTGAAGGGGGTGGGGAGGCTGGGTTTGGGTTTTGGTGGGGACTTTTTGGGTGGGTTTTGTTTGTTTGTTTGCTGGTTCCTTGCTTTTTTAAAAATTGCAGCAAAATCCATGAGCAAAGTTCCAGGAAACACAACATGGGCTGGAATGATGTGGCAGCAGGAATTGCTGAGGTGGCTGCTCCCATTCCACGGGCACATGGAGAGGAACCCACGCCAATACAGAATCCCAGGATGGGTTGGAGGGACCTCAGAGCCCACCCAGTGCCACCCCTGCCGTGGCAGGGACACCTTCCACTGTCCCAGGCTGCTCCCAGCGCCCAACCCGGCCTTGGGCACTGCCAGGGATAGGAAGTCCAGTTATTGGAAATCCTTATTGAAAAGCAATGTTCAACTAAAAGCATAAAATGATGCAGTACCTTCATCCTTTCACCTTCCCCCCCTCTCAACAGGTACAACACTTGTATGGCCTCAGGAGCAGCCTCTGGCAGAGTTAACAGCAAAGCCAATTTATAAAATTTATAAATTCCACACCAATTACCGTGGAAAATTCTACACTCGGCCACCATCTAAAATATCTTTAATGAAGCCACATTTTTGTTGTTTCCATTGTTTGACACCTTTTTCTCTCCCCAAACAGGGAGAGAAGAGGGAGAGCCCCTGCTCTGTGCCAGGGCTGTTCCTGTCAGAGCTCTGTCCCCGCACAGGGGTGAGATTGGCACTCCCCTGGCTGCAGGGAGCTCCTGAGAGCCCTGGCCGTGCCCTGGCTGTGCCCTGGCTGTGCCCTGGCCGTGCCCTGGCTGTGCCCTGGCTGTGCCCTGGCTATGCCCCTGGCTCCTGCAGGCGCTCCCGGGTTCAGGCCAATACTACAGGACCTTGCTTAGCAGGTTTCGCTCTTCTTGGAGCTCATCAGCTGTAGGTAACGGCCCAAGGACAGCTCCACAGGCAGCCCTGTGCTCAGGAAATCACCCTGAGCCAGAGACGGGCTTGTTCTCACACGGGGGATCACCGTCACACAGAATCAGTCACACACGGGACCCCAGAGTCACACATGGGATCCCAGAGTCACACAGGATCACACAGTCAGAATCACTGAATCACACACAACCAGAATCACACACAGTCACACACGGGGTCCCAGAGTCACACACGGGGTCCCAGAGTCACACACGGGGTCCCAGAGTCACACAGTATCACACCATCAGAATCACTGAATCACACACAGTCAGAATCACACACAGTCACACACACTCACAGAACCAGTCACACAAAATCATACAATCAAAATCATTGAATCACATAAAATCACAGTCACACACAGTCACACGTAATCACAGAATCAGAATCACAGAGTCACACACAATAACAGAATCACACACAATGACACAATCAGAATCACTGAATCACACACAATCACACAATCAGAATCACAGTCACACACACTCACAGAACCAGTCACACAAAATCATACAATCAAAATTATTGAATCACACAAAATCACAGTCACACACAGTCACAGAATCAGAATCAGAGTCACACACAATAACAGAATCACACACAATCACAGAATGAGAATCACTGAATCACACACAATCAGAATCACACACAGTCACACACACTCACAGAACCAGTCACAAAAAATCATACAATCAAAATCATTGAATCACACAAAATCACAGAATCACAGTCACACACGCAATCACACATAATCACAGAATCAGAGTCACACACAATCAGAATCACAGTCACACACAATCACAGAACCAGTCACACAAAATCACAGTCACACACAGTCACAGGTAATCACAGAATCAGAATCACAGAGTCACACACAATCAGAATCACACACACTCACAGAACCAGTCACACAAAATCATTGAATCATACAAAATCACAGAATCACAGTCACACACGCAATCACACATAATCACAGAGTCACACACAATCAGAATCAGTCACACACAATCAGAATCAGAGTCACACACAATCACAGAATCAGAATCACAGTCACACAATCAGAATCACTGAATCACAATCACACAATCAATATCACACACAATCAGAATCACACAGAATCACAGAGTCACAATCACACAATCAGAATCACACAATCACACATACAATCACACACACAGTCCCACACACAATCACCAGGTTGGAAGAGACCTCCACAACCATCAAGTCCAACCCAGCCCCAACCCTTCAACTCAGCCCTGGCACCCAGTGCCACATCCAGGCTTTGTTAAACACACCCAGGGATGGTGACTCCACCACCTCCCCAGGCAGCCATTCCAGACCTTTATCACCTTCCTGGAAAGAACTTTTCCCTAATATCCAGCCTAAATTCCCCTTGGAATTCCACAGCTTGAGGCTGTGACCTCTGGCTCTGTCAGTGCCTGGAGAAGGAGCCCAACCCCAGCTGAGCACAGCCACCTTTCAGGGAGCTGTAGTTTGGGTTTGCAGTTGTTTTGTTCCAAGTTAATTTTGTTTCATTCTGTACTTCCACCTTCAAGGAACACTCCAAAGGAGATTCTGACCTTTAGGGTTTGAGAAGCACTTCCAAACATTGCTTTGCGCTGAGCCACAGCCTCATTGGCCAAAGCAGGAACACAGAAAGAAAAGTTCATTTACCAGTTATTAAATCTGGCTTGGTTCACATTCTTGGCATTGCATGTCATTAGCAGAAATAATATTTGATGTCACTGATTAAATTGCAGTTGCTGCATGAAGATAAAGTTGTGCCCATACCTATTTATGGTCAGAAATAAGTTGTAATTAAAATAAATCCAGTTTGGGGCATGGGCTGATCTGAGCTCGACACAGGGAAGGAGGTCCAGTGACTTTCTGCTGTTTTTCTGATCAGAAGGAACAACTATTCCTGCTGTTTCAAGGAAAAGCTTTCCTCCCTTGTCAGTGCATTCACTCTCAAAAATGTAACGTTAATAAATAACATAGCTGGGATGAAGACATTGAATAAAAATGGAGGGCATACCTGTGCTGGCAGAAAAAGTTACTGGTGTCCATCTGCTTTGGCACTTCCTTGCTTTGGGCTTCTGAGCTCGTCTGACATTTGATTGAACCCATCTAAAATAATTTCTGAACTGTCATAAATTATTTGTTAAAGTATAAAATTAAATTTACTTATGATATAAAGGTGCTTATGTTTGTTCATCTCAGATTTCAATAAAAACATGAAGTATTTTTCCTTTTCTTTCCTAATTTGAAAAAGGACCCCACAATTACTGATTTTATCCCCTCCTCTCCCTCTGTCTATCCAAAATATCTGATGCTCTTACTAATTTCCTTGTTCTCCTGGTTCATATTCCCAATCCCTTTCCTCAGCAGTCAAACGTAATAAATCTGAAATACTCCTTTGTTTGTTTCCCTGTGCCTTTTCCCAGGAAGAGAAGTGAACTCAAAGTGATTTCAGGGGGCCACATCTGACCCCTGAAAAAAACAAACCTTCCATTCAAGTAGACTGACAACATCTTTTAAAGCACATTTTAAACACTTCTGACAGTTCTTCTCATTTACCTTTAATATTTTAAACTCTGTCCCCATCAATTATAAGATAAGTAACTGAAGAAAAAGCAACTGTGCACAAAAGTATGAAAAGTACCCTAAAATGTTATTTCTGCATCTCCAGCAAGTACAGGAGCATCTCTGGGAACCACCATGCACCTTCCAGCAGCAGCTGCCCCAAAACCCAAAAGTTTGGATCTCTCACTGATGTTTTCACGTGTGCTGGACTCAGATGATTGTGCAAGATCTCTGCAAACCCAAACTGACTCCAGCCTCTGAGGGCGTAAGGAAAAACCCACGTGGCTAGGAGCCAGAAAAGGGACTGTAACTTCCCAGTGATTACAGCTCTGCAGTGAAATTCTAAACAAGTCAATGGTTCCTTTTTTTTCCTGCATAAATCCAGTGGATCCAAAGCTGCTCTGGAAGATTCTGCAAAAACCTGCCCAAAAAATGCAGGAAGCTTCATTAAAAATGAACAGGCAACTCAGCAGCGTGTTGAATGCTAAAGCCTGCCATTCCTGCTGGGACTGAGAGCTTTTTCCAAGGCACAAGAAGCCATCTGGTTTGTTCAGGCAGGACACAGCTTGTGGCAGCACAGCCCCACAGAGCCCTCAGTGCCTTCAGTTACTGGGGTGGAAAATCACTGATGGACAGGGACATCCTGGCTGGAAAAACCTGGGCATGGAGGCACATCCAGCTGGGCACGGGGACGGAGGGCACCAGCCTGGCTCAGCCCAGGGACAGCCCCAGCGGGGTGGGATGTGGGTCTGCTGGGGGCAGGGAGCTCTGCAGAGGGACCAGGACAGCCAGGACCCATGGGACAGCCAGGCCAAGAGCTGGGTCCTGCACTGGGGCCACAGCAAGCCCGTGGAACACACCAGGATGGAAAGGGAACAGAGCCCCAGGAGGGGCTGGGGGAGCTGGGAAGGGGCTCAGCCTGGAGAAAAGGAGGCTCAGGGGGGACCTTGTGGCTCTGCACAGCTCCTGACAGGAGGGGACAGCCAGGGGGGGTCGGGCTCTGCTCCAGGGAACAGGGACAGGACACGGGGAAATGGGCTCAGGCTGGGCCAGGGCAGGCTCAGGGTGGGCAGCAGCAGGAATTTCTGCCTGGAAAGGGGCTCAGGCCTTGGCACTGCCCAGGGAGGGTTGGAGTGCCCATCCCTGGAGATGTCCAGGGAATTCCTGGATGTGGCACTCAGAGCTCTGGGCTGGGGACAAGGTGGGGATCACTCACAGGCTGGACTCACAACTGAAATCATTCTGTGATTCCAGAAAAAATCCCCTGCTCTAAGCCCCAGGGCGAGCCCAACAACCTCACCTGGTCAGAAACTGATAAAGATTGCACTGCATTCAAATTCAACAAAGATGGAATAAGTCACAATATTTAATCAGAGGTTTCTTTGAAAGCCTTCCAAAACTTTTAACCAGGTTCCCTCCAGACAAAACAGAACAAACTCAAATCCAGGGGAGTTCCAAAGCACCTCTGTTTCTGTGACTTCACATCAAGTCACAGAAACTCAGGTGGTTTGGAACTCCCAAATTTCCAGCTGAGTGTCAGTGTTCCAGGACTGAGCTCCAGTGTCAGCTGAGAGCCCAGAACAGAGAGAAGATCCCTGAGGAACTTGCAGGTCAGGCTAAGAAGGGTGAGGTGGCAGTGGCACCGAGGTGCCAGCCCTGCTGCCAAGGCGTTGTTTGAAGCTCACAGCCCTCTGGATCCATTTCCACTCCCCAGGGAAGCACTCAGCCTGGCCCCAGCAGCCCTGCAGCCAGCACTGAGTGTCTCAGCACAGATTTGGCACAGGCAGGTCTGTTCTCCAGCTCACACAGCCAGGGCGCAGAGCTGGCAGCACACTCAGTGCCACAGCACCCAAACCAGACCCAAACGCTCATCTTCCTTCACTGCCCCACAGCCTGAGGAGTAGAAATGGCTTTTTACAACCTGCCTGGTGAAATTAATGTCTGCTATGGGATTTACCAGGAGCCTGCAAACAAGAGCAAATCCTGCAGCTGAAATTGTTTCCTTGAAATAAAGCAGTGCTCCTGTTGGTAAGAGAAATGAAATATTGCAGCAGGATTTTTGAGCAGTAAGAAGTTGGAAATAGTCTAATTAAGACCTTACCCCGCCCTGTCAGGAAGGGAAGACTTTTTTGTGAAGGGGATTTCTGAGCACTCCGTGCTTCCAAGAGAAGCTGGCAAAGCTCCCCTCTCCATCTCACCCCACAGGCCCCAGCACTGCTTGCAGAGCACAGAGAGAAGCTGCAGCTGCCTCTGAATGCAATCATTATTGGGAAGGGCTCTGAGCTGCATTCCTGCCCTTTTCCCCATCAGCCCAGACGGGAGATGGAGCAGGAGCAGGTCCCACACACACCTGGCAGCTCAGGGCTCTCCCAGAGCTCCCTGGCACACCTGGGGAGGAGGGAAATTCCAGTGATGAACACCTGGAAACAGGAACTGCTGACTTCAGGATAAAACAGCTTGCTCAGTTTTAATTCATTAATTTCACCTCCTACATTAACTTAGGGTGTGAAATCTTCCTCACCACCTCCACAGGTCTAAACTAAAATAATTCTAGGTTTGTGAAGTGTTAGATATTACTGAAAGGGTACAGGAGTACAGAACCATTAATCTGCATTTAAAAGCCTCTCTGCCACTGCCCCAGGCAATGGGAACTGAACACCTACACAGGCCTGATAACTTTAACTTTGAGCTGCCAGACACACACAACACCCGCTTCAAGAGCCTGGCTGCACCCAAACTGCTCCTCACTGCTCCAACTGTGCTCACAAAGGGGCTTCCTTCCACAAGAACAACATAAGCCTGAAGTAAAAGTCCAGCTGATGACGTTTGCCATTGCCTTCTGTAAAACTAAGGGGTTTTATCCCTTGGTTTTGTCACTTTCTGTTTTAATAAATAAATAAATAGTTAAGTTAGGGCCTCAGCTCCCTCCCTGTTGGCTTTATGCCAGGACACCCCTTTGCCCCCCACCTCTTAAATCACAGAATCACTGAGGCTCTCTTCACCCAAGACCACCGAGTCCAACTTTTGACCTAAATAAAGTTAAAAGTTTTACTGACAAAGACAGAAAAATACCTCACCTTGCAGTCAGTCAGCAGCTACTTAAGTTACTAAGATTTTAAGTGTTAACCACAGCACATCCTTTAGACATGTAACTCTTAAAATTTAGTGATGACTTGGCACCTGCTGTCATAATTCTATTTGTTTCCACCCGGCCAAATATAATGTACTATCTGCTGTGGAATGTTGAGGTCTCCAACTGCTTCTTCCAGATCTGGGCTGCCTAAAACTCTTCATTACATAAGTTTTTTTAAAATAAATCTGTATTATTTAAGCACAGCTGAGAAGTTAAAATAGTTCAGTCTCTAAAGCCCACAGGACTGGGAAAGGCCCATAAAACTATTTAAATTTAGGTACAGTTTAACAATAGAAATCTGTTTAAACGCTAAACCAGAGATGACAAATTCATGGTTTCTTCTACCTGGAACCAAGGGGAAAACAATTAACTTAATAAAAATATTATGAATTCCAATATTATCACCTGAATTACCTTATCTGAATCCCTCTTTAGGCTCCCTAAAGCTGCCCCAGAGCAGCCCACGCAGGCAGGCTGAGTGTGGAGCTCAGGGTGGCTCAGGCACCAAGCCAGGCCCAAGGCTGGCTTTAATCTTCCAGATGTGGTTCCTTCCCTCTTCAAAAACTGTCACAGCTCCCACAACACACAGCTGAACACACCCACCCTGGTTTAAAGGGTTCCTAAGTCAGAACATCCACCTTGGTTTAAAGAGCTGTCCAGCTGAGAACATCCACCCGGGTTTAAAGGGCTCTTAACTGAGAACAGAACTGAGAACATCCACCCAGGTTTAAAGGGCTCCAAACTCAGAACAGAACTGAGAACATCCACCCTGGTTTAAAGGGCTCCAAACTGAGAACAGAACTGAGAACATCCACCCTGGTTTAAAGGGCTCCAAACTCAGAACAGAACTGAGAATATCCACCCTGGTTTAAAGGGCTCCTAACTCAGAACAGAACTGAGAACATCCACCCTGGTATAAAGGGCTGCAAAATTCAGAACATCCACCTTGGTTTAAAGGGTTCCTAACTCAGAACATCCACCCTGGTTTAAAGGGTTCCTAACTCAGAACATCCACCCTGGTTTAAAGGGCTTTAACTCAGAATATCAACCTCGGTTTAAAGAACTCAGACCAGAACTGAGAACATCCACCCTGGTTTAAAGGGCTCCTAACTCAGAACAGAACTGAAAACATCCACCCTGGTTTAAAGGGCTGCAAAATTCAGAACATCCACCTTGGTTAAAGGGCTCCTAACTGGAACATCCACCTTGATTTAAAGGGTTCCTAACTCAGAACATCCACCCTGGTTTAAAGGGCTCCTAACTGAGAACATCAACCTTGGTTTAAAGAACTCAGAACAGAACTGAGAACATCCACCCTGGTTTAAAGGGTTGCACAACTCAGAACACCCACTCTGGTTTAAAGGGCTCCTAACTCAGAACAGAACTGAGAACACCCACGCAGGGCTGCCCAGGACTGAGCACCCTCACTCCCCCTTCACCTGGGCTGTGTGAGAGGTAATTGAAATGCTGCAGAAGTGACGTTGTTCTGTTGCTGCAAAAGCCCTTTTTCCTTGCATTATGGCTCCTTCCTACGTCCCCTCCACCACCCAGCACTCCCCAAAAGATGTATTGCTCTGGGGTCCTGGATAAACCAGGCCTGAGTGCATCAGCTGCAGCACAGCCAACGAACAAAGCCATTTACTGCTCCAAAAAGCCCGGCCTGCTCCAAACCCAGGGAGTGTGGGACAATGCTGGCAAGGCTGCTGCATTCAGCACCACAGGAACTGCAGTGAACAATCAGGGTGCCCCACGGAGCTCCCAGGAGGTCCTGGATGATGTGTCCCTTAAATACAGCATTCTGGAACTGTCAGGAGCCAACTCTGGCAGCCCAGCCTGGGAGCTGCTCCCTTGGGACTGACTGGTTTGACTGGGAAGGGGCCTTAAAGCTCAGCCAGTGCCACCCCTGGAACCCTGGCAGTGCCCAAGGCTGAGGCTTGGAGCACCCTGGGATCGTGGAAAGTGTCCCTGCCATGGCAGAGGGATGGAATTCAGTGCTGTTTAAAGCTCTTTCCCACCCAGAGCATTCCGTAATTCTGTGATTCACCTTCCCCGGACGAGGGATGTGCTGCACAACAAACACAGTTCTGGAGGAATTTTAAACAGAGGACTCCATCTTTTTACATTATTTCATATTTTCACATGTCTAACACATCACTGAAAATGCAGAAGTCACTGCTTCACAACGCCAGTTTGTCATAAGTGAAAAATGTCAGTACCAGTTTGGTGTCAGAAACAGGCAATTGAACTTAAAAAACACAAGATTTTGAGGTCTACACCACAGTCAATCCCAACAGATCCCATTACCTGAATCACACTGAGAAGTCTCTCAGGACAACTTCCACTTTCCTGGGCTCACTTCCTCCTTCAGACATTTACACGACAACCTAAGGAGAGGCGAATAACACCGAGTGAGTTTACCTGCAAGAAAGCAGCAGTTTTCTCCAGAAAAATTACACTGCCTCATTTCACAGCCCCTCAGGGTGCTGCTTCTGCCCTGGCTGCTGCTCCCTTTAACCCCAGATCAGTGCAGCCTGCACATCCCGGCTGTGCCGTTAATTCCTGAGCAATGCAGCCTGCACATCCCGGCTCTCCCGTTAATTAACCCCAAATCAGTGCAGCCTTGCACATCCCGGCTCTCCCGTTAACCCCAAATCAGTGCAGCCTGCACATCCCGGTTCTCCCGTTAATTCCTGAGCAATGCAGCCTGCACATCCCGGCTCTCCCGTTAACCCCACAGCAATGCAGCCTGCACGTCCCGGTTCTCCCGTTAACCCCACAGCAATGCAGCCTGCACATCCCGGTTGTCCCGTTAATCCCACAGCAATGCAGCCTGCACATCCCGGTTGTCCCGTTAACCCCACAGCAATGCAGCCTGCACATCCCGGCTCTCCCGTTAACCCCAAATCAGTGCAGCCTGCACACCCCGGTTGTCCCGTTAACCCCAAATCAGTGCAGCTGCACATCCCGGCTCTCCCGTTAACCCCACAGCAATGGATCCTGCACATCCCGGCTCCTTGCCAGCGGCCGTTCCGCGGCCGGGAGGAACACCGTGGCACGGCCAAACCAGCGGCTGCCGCCCCAGCGCGGTGACCCGGGCCTCGCTGGGCTCTCCCCCGCCCGGGCCCCGCGCTGTCCCCCGTACCTGAGCCGGTGCCGGGGCAGCCGCGGCTCTCGGGCTCCAGGGCCGGCCGGGCCGCCTCAGCCGCCTCAGCCGCCGCCGCCGCGCTCCAACGGTCCCGGCCGCCGCCGCGCGGCGCCCCGGCCAATCAGGGCCCGCCTCCGCCGGGGGCGCGCGGCCCCCCGCCAATCCGCGCCCGTCCGGCCCCGCCTTCTCGCGCCCTTCAGCCAATCGGCGGCCAGCACCGCCCAGCGCGCTCCCGCCCCCGCCGCAGCGCGCGCGCGCCGCGCGGCGGTCACCCCGGGGGGTGGTGGAACTGCGCAGGCGCAGCGCGAGAGGCCGAGGGGGCGGCCCCGCCCCCGGCCCGCCCTGAGGGGAGCGGGGCGGGTGGAGCGATGGCGGGGACGGCGCTGGGAGCTTCGTCAGCCACGGGTACCCTCACAGACGTCCCTCAGTACCTGTCAGCCATAGCTCCCCTCACAGCCATCCCTCAGCACCGTGCCAGCCATGGCTCCCCTCACAGCCATCCCTCAGCACCGTGCCAGCCATGGCTGTCCCCTCACAGCCATCCCTCAGCACCGTGCCAGCCATGGCTGTCCCCTCACAGCCATCCCTCAGCACCGTGCCAGCCACGGCTGTCCCCTCACAGCCATCCCTCAGCACCGTGCCAGCCATGGCTGTCCCCTCACAGCCATCCCTCAGCACCGTGCCAGCCATGGCTGTCCCCTCACAGCCATCCCTCAGCACCGTGCCAGCCATGGCTGTCCCCTCACAGCTCAGCACCATGACAGCCATGGCTGTCCCCTCACAGCCATCCCTCAGCACCGTGCCAGTCATGGCTCCCCTCACAGCCATCCCTCAGCACCGTGCCAGCCATGGCTGTCCCCTCAGCACCATCCCTCAGCACCGTGCCAGCCATGGCTGTCCCCTCACAGCCATCCCTCAGTACCTGTCAGCCATGGCTGTCCCCTCAGCACCATCCCTCAGCACCGTGCCAGTCATGGCTGTCCCCTCACAGCCATCCCTCAGCACCGTGCCAGTCATGGCTCCCCTCACAGCCATCCCTCAGCACCGTGCCAGTCATGGCTCCCCTCACAGCCATCCCTCAGCACCGTGCCAGTCATGGCTCCCCTCACAGCCATCCCTCAGCACCGTGTCAGCCATGGCTGTCCCCTCACAGCCGTCCCTCAGCACCGTGCCAGCCATGGCTTCCCTCACAGATATCCCTCAGCACCGTGCCAGCCATGGCTCCCCTCACAGACATCCTTCAGCACCGTGCCAGCCATGACTGTCCCCTCACAGCCATCCCTCAGCACCATCCCTCAGCACCATCCCTCAGCACCGTGCCAGCCATGGCTGTCCCCTCAGAGCCATCCCTCAGCACCATGACAGCCATGGCTGTCCCTCACAACTCAGCACCGTGTCAGCCATGGCTCCCCTCACAGCTATGAACGGCAGCCATCCTTCAGAACAGTCCCCTCACAGCTGTGAGTGACCATCCCTCAGCACCGAGCCACGGCCATTGCTCAGCTCCATCCCCTCAGTTCCCAGGGCTGGAGCTCCTCTGCCATGGAGCCTGGCTGGGACACCTGGGGGTGCTCACCTGGAGAGGAGAAGGATCCAGGGAGAGCTCAGAGCCCCTGGCAGGGCCTGGAGGGGCTCCAGGAGAGCTGCAGAGGGACTGGGGACAAGGGACAGGACCCAGGGAATGGCTCCCAGTGCCAGAGGGCAGGGCTGGGTGGGAGATTGGGAATTGGGAATTGTTCCCTGGCAGGGTGGGCAGGCCTGGCACAGGGTGCCCACCCTGGATCCCTGGCAGTGCCCAAGGCCAGGCTGGACACTGGGACACCCTGGGACAGTGGAAGTGTCCCTGCCACAGCAGGGGTGGCACTGGGTGGCTCCGAGGTCCCTTCCAACCCATTCTATGGATCGCTGTTTCTATGGGAGGGCAGCTCAGGCTTGTACGGACTGTGCCCCTGCAGGAGTGTTCCCTGTGCCAGGAGAAGCTGCCACAGCTCCTGCCATGTCCCACATCTCTGCAGCCATGTTTCCAGCGACAGCGTCCCCTGCTCCATGGCGTGACCATCCCTGAGGAGAACAGCTTTCCATGGGGATGTCACTGCTCGCCCTGCCAGCACCACCAGGGTGACCATCCCTGAGGAGAACAGCTTTCCATGGGGATGTCACTGCTCGCCTTGCTGGCACCACCAGGGTGACCATCCCTGAGGAGAACAGCTTTCCATGGGCACCGCTCCCGGCTTGCCCGAGTGGGAGGGAATGCTTTGCCAGGGAAATGGAGAGGGGAAATTGCTGCTCATTCCGAGCTGCCCGTGCCAATGACGGGGCTCAGAATTCCGAATTTGTCCCGGAATTCTGGACAAGCCCACGGGTGGCAGTGGGAGCAAGTGAGGGAGGTGATTCCTGCTGGCTGCATTTCCACCCGCAAGGCAGCAGCAGCCAAAGCAGCACTGGGAAAAGCCGTGTGCCTTGGGCTGCAGGAGAAGTGCTGCAACCTGCAAAAACACCAGATGGTGCCATGGCTTCAGTTATTGCTCCATGACTCCGGGAGTTCAGCTTCCCCCTCCTCTGAGGGCTGTGCCCGTCCTCCTTCTTCCCAGGGATCCCAGGGGAATTTGGCCTGGCTAGAAAAAAAAGAGAGTTTTACTTGCTTAACAACGAGATAGAGCCATTAATTAGTCACACGGTTAAAAAGGAGAATAAATTAAAGTCTAGTGATGCCGCCAAGATGCCACCTGAGGGCTGAGGTGGATTATTCCCACTTCCATTCTTAAAATACAGAATTGCTGATACTTTTAATGTATTCAGGGAGAAGAAATCCCAAGCTCTTGCCCATTCCTCAGTGCTGCTGATTTTACCAAAGAGGGAATTGTGGCAGGAAGAGGAACAGAATCCCTGGCAGCACATGAGCCACAGTGAAGGATTTTCTCTGGTGCCATGTCTTGAGGGCACAGATATTCCAGTGCCAGGTTGGGAATGGGCTGTTGGGAGCAGTCCTGGATCCTCCTCTGAGACACTAAGGTGGAAATTTATACACATATAGATATATATTTTAAAAAATTACAATGGGAAGGATTCCACTGATTGATGAATGGAAAAAGATATTTGTAAAAGCAAATAAATAAATAAATTTTTAAAAAAAAAAGCTTTAGGTTTGCTGATAAATGAAACTGGATGTTGCAAGATGAAAGAAACAATGGGGGGAAACCCTAAATTCTGTAAGAATTAAAAATTAAAAGAGAGAGTTATAGATTAGAGAGAAATCTCTGGTATCAGGCATATTGGGAAGTCTGTGCCTCTCAAGTACTTCAGGCAATGGGGAAAGAGAGAAGGGAAATGCAGCCTGGAAATTGGGATAAAAAGGAGGCTGCGTCCTCCAAAAATTGGAGACACCCCAGGGGAACGTCCCATGGAATGTCCCTTTGTTTGAATAGAGTAAAAGGATTCCTCTGTCTCCTTTTTGGACATAAACTCTGATGTTTGTGGATGAATTTTCCTCACATTTCCTTCTCTGCACACCCCGGGGGAGCTCTGGGTTACACTCAGGAACACTCACTGAATTCGATGGAATAAATGTCATTTGGGGTTCACTGCTCCTTGTGGGGAGGATCCAGAAGGATTTATGGCTCTCAAACTGCCACAGCCTTCCCCAAAAATTCGCTCTGGGCTTGTGCTTCCCTGCAGAGCTCCCACCCGCTCTCCCCCAGGCTCCTCTCCCCCGTTTTTGTGGTTTTAAACACTATTACATCTCAGATCCAACCAGCTCAAATACTTTTTAATACATTGAAAATGTAAAATAAAGCATATACGAAGTACATACAGTATATATATACACATATTTCAAATACTTAAAATTCTTATGTAAAATATGATTTTTTTTTCTATATTATTTGTGTAAAAATACATTTTCAAATGGTGTCACCTCGATTTTGCTGTACAGACCCTCAAGCCCAATCGAAGTCCCTTTTATAAAGGCAAAAGACAAAGGTTTAGGATTTTTGGAACTATGTTTACAGGCCTGTTGTCCACACAGGAAAAGCCTCTGGGAAACAGTATTGGATTGCTTCTTTGTGAGAATTCCCGTTTTTATTGCATTAATGTCAGGAACAGAACATTTCAGTTGTGCTGCAGTAAAACCCCGCTGGCCTGGCCGAGGAACTGCCCCCGGTACCCTGTCACCACTCAGAACCCCTCCTTTGCCCGCTCTTTGCAGATACTAAAATATATATATTATTTAAAATATATTACTGTAAGCTCTCCGACTCGCTCTACACGTACAGCAAACGTAAGCATCAAAAACCACCGGGGACCGCTCCGTCCCCAGTCCCTGTCCCCTGTCCCTGTCCCCTGTCCCCTTGTCCCTGTCCCTGTCCCTGTCCCCTGTCCCTGACCCCTTTCCCCTGCCCCCTGCCCCTGTCCCCTGTCCCTGCCCCCTGTCCTCTGTCCCTGTCCCCTGTCCCTGTCTCCTTTCCCCTGTCCCCTGTCCCTGTCCCCTTTCCCCTGTCCCTGTCCCCTGTCCCTGTCCCCTGTCCCTGTCCCCTGTCCCCCTGTCCCTGTCCACTGTCCCTGTCCTCTGTCCCTGTCCCCTTTCCCCTGTCCCCTGTCCCTGTCGCTGTCCCCTGTCCCCTCAGATCCCTCCCAGTAACAACCTGACCAGGAACTGCTGCTCCAGCAGCTGTTTTGTGCAACCAAATAAAAACAAAAAAAAACCCAAAAAAACCCCAATCCAACTCCCCAACCAGTGCAACTGCTTGGAACCTCCTCCTTCCTGGAAATTCCCAGAGGGAAAGTTAAAATTCCACAATCCCACACCGAATTCCTTCCCTCGCTGCCCACCTGGCTCAGAACCCGAACTCGTGCCCCAGCCTGGCCGTGGGGTTTGGGGCTGGGAAGTGAGCGCTGGTCAGGCTCTAATTCCAGTTCTGTGTCCTGAAAAGGGGAACTGAAACCTCCTCCCTCCTCAGGCTCCTTTCCCTGCCACAAACACTCTGACATCAGCTTTGGAAATTCTGGATTTTTGGTACCGCCGTTCCCGGCAGCGCCACTGAATCATTCCTGGGGGACCAAAGTCGAATGGTTTGAACTCGGTCAGACATCCCTTTATTATAAATCCCGTGTGGAGGGGGATTTATGTCGGTGGGGAGGAGCCTCAGCAGTGGGACAGGCTGGTCCCAGCCCAGGAACTCCACAGGATTCCCCCTTCTGAAGGCACCATCCCACTCCCAAACTGCAGCAGCGTGAAATTCCAGGGCTTTGTCCCCATTCCAGGGATGGTCACACCCAGCCTGTCACCCCAAACAACCTCCTCGCACTCTGCTCACCCCCAGAGCTCCCTGAGGCTGCACCAGGAACGTGCTCAGACCTCAGATGGGCACTGAGAGATCAATTCCTCCAAAAGAAACACCAGGACAGCAGCCCGAGCTAAGCGCTGATCCGTGACATGGAACTAAGGCACTGACAAGTGGAAACTCCCGAGCCACCAGCACAATCCCACCTGGCCAACGCCACCTGGGCCACCTCCACGCCCAGGGACACCCAGTGTCCCACCAGGGCCACCAGCCAGCCCCTCCTGGGATGGCACGGATGGATGGGCATGTTCCACGGGCACTGCCCCGCGCTGCCAGGGAACAGACACAGCAAACCCAGCCCGGCCCAGCAAAACCCACCAGGAGGAACCAGCCAGAGCCACACCAGGAGGGGACGGTGCTGGAGGTGCCAGGGGAGCTCTGCAAGAGCCTTTCCAGCGGCAGCTGAACGCCTGTTGAGTGCTCAGGGTCACAGCTCCCTCCTCATCCTCCTCTTCCTCCTCCCCAGCAGCTGGAGAAGCAGCCTGAGAGGAGCAAGGAGAGACCAGAAGTGACCAAGTGCTCAGAGAAACCTCCTGCTCTCCTCTGAGGACTCCCAGCTGCACAGCAGCCTCGCCCAGGCTGTCCCAGCCAGCAGTGGAAGTGTCCAGGACTATGGGAAGGAACTTCCCTCCTGTCCCAGTGAGGCCTGAGGGAGGAGGGGACAGCTCTGCTCTCAGCTCCAAACCAGCCCACACTTCCCCAGCTTTACAGAAATGCAGATTTCCTCTTCCCGAGCAAGAGCTGGGAGTGGGAAGGGGCAGGAACTGGCACAGGCCAGGGGTGGGAGGTGCTCGTGGGGACAATTTTGTGCAAGTTTTTAGATTCAAAAAATCGAGTCAATGTTTAATCCCTAAATCCTCCTCAGCGGGGGATGCCTGAGCAGCGATGTGGAATCACGTCAGTGGGGTCACAGCTCTGCAGGACATTTCTGATGGCAGAACCCAGAGCTCCAGAGGCAGCTGCACTCCCCAGGCAGGGAGAGAAACACTCCTACTACCACGGGATCAAGGCTGCAACTCCCTTTTTTTGTCATCACCAACTAAATCACAGAATCATGGAATATCCTGGCCTGGAACGGACCCACAGGGATCATCCAGTCCAACTCCTGACCCTGCCAGGACACCCCAACAATCCCATCCTGTGCCTGAGTGTTGTCCAAAGGCTCCTGGAGCTCTGGCAGCCTTGGGCACCTCTTGTTGCTTCGAAAATCCCCCAGGAATGATTTCTGCTCCTCAGCACCAGCGCTGGGCTCCCGGGGAGGAGGGGAGGGGAGCAGTAGTACGAAGGAGAGGGGAAGGGAAGGCTGAGGACCCCGTGCACCACTCAGCTGCCCCACTGCTGTGGGAATATTGCTTCAGCTTAAAAAGGCCTTTGGATTAAAAGTGAATTCAGTGCTTTTCCATCAAAAACATACACAGCTCTGTTCCCTGACCAGGATGCAGCAAGAACAGCCCTCGGGTGGCTCGTGCTCCATCAGCTCCTGGGCACACGGGGCCTCTGTGCTTCCAGCTCCTTCAGGGCAAGTGAAGGAAGGCAGGAACTGACAGGGAGCCACCAGTGTCCCCAGTCAGCTCTGGGGCTGCCCCAGCACCCCTCCCTCAGCTGAGCTGAGCCCAGCCCAATTTGGTATTTCAAACACAAAGAGCCACCCAACAAGGCCCAGGCAGACACTCAAGTGCCTTTCCCTCACCCAGGAAATACAAAATCTTGGATAGAATCTGGAGACGTCCGACCATGGGGGTGTTTGGATGAGAACAAAACGCTTCCCACCTGCCCCTGTGTCCCAAGAGCAGCAGGGCTGCATGGCAGCTCTAGCCCTGGGAATGCCCAGGAACACAATTCCTGCCAGCCCTGGGAATGCCCAGGGAGCAGATTCCTGCCAGTTCTGGGAATGCCCAGGAGCAGATTCCTGCCAGCCCTGGGAGCTGGGATTATCCCGGAGCCCAGACTGGGATGATCCCATTCCCTCTGCCAGGAGAACACCAACCATGGGCTGTGGGCTGGATCCCCCCGGGGAGAGCAGAGCTCAGCAATGTGCTCAGAGCAGGCTGGGCTTACTGGAACTGCAGTACAAGTCAAACGCTATCTCCTAAAAGACTGAAAAAATATCTTTAACCAAAATAATGTGGCATATTTACATAATTCCTTAAGTGCAAACTCTTGTCACAATTAACGCGATTTCGACTCCCTGTACAAGAAGGTGCTCTTTCGTCAATGAAAGAAGGACTCGAACTCCCTATTCCTGATTCGGTAACGTGTCTCTTGTGCAAGGCAGTAAAATTCCTGTTTCTTCCCAAGATTCTTGTGAAGGCAGCCCCCAAAGGGAGCCGTGCTGCTCCCCGTTACCGCACCACCAGGCAGGAGACGCAGAGCTTGGAGGGGCCGATGCAGTCGTCGTGGCAGAAGGCGCCGCAGCCCTTGCACATGATCATGGCTTTCAACCTGCAGTAGCATTTGGAAGGGGCGTCCTCCATGCCGCCGTCCTCGGCGAACGCCGGCACCGGGAGGCTCTGCCCGTGGCCGCCGGAGCTCACGGCCTGCCCGGCGGGGATGGTGGTGACGGTCACGGAGAAGGACATGACGTTGCCCATGGAGCTGCCCAGCTGGCTGCACTCGGTCACCAGCGAGGCCTGGCCCACGTCGGGCGAGGTGGAGACGTTGATGGTGCCGCTGTAGCTGGGCCCCAGGAGCTTCGGGGGGAGCGGGGCAGGCAGCAGCGGGGGCTGTGCCGGGTCTGGGGAGGGCGTGGGGGTCCCGAAATGCTCCCTGCCGCTGTGCCCCTTGCCCCTCATGGCCTGGGCCATCTGCTCCTGTGCTGCCTGCAGCAGGTCCCGGGCCAGCGCCGCGCCGTCCAGCGCTGCCACCTTCTCCTTGGCTGCTGATGCCACCTCGGCCTTCAGCCCCAGCGAGCTGGGGCCTGCAGGGCCGGTGCCCCGTGAGCTCTGCTCCTTCTCCCCGTGCCCCGGCTCCTCTTTGGTGCCAACCTGCTCCCGTTCATCCCCGGAGCTCTCATCATCCGCGTCCTCCTCGCTGCTGCTGCTGCCCGGGCCACCCGTGCCCTCAGCGGGGCCGCTCAGCCCCAGGCGGGGCTCGGGGTTCAGCAAAAAGCTTCTCCTCAAACTCTCCGAGCCGCGGCCGTAGGTGGAGACGTTGAGGAGGTAGTGCCCGGACATGGCAGGCTTGGACGTCCTCCTGCCCGTGAAGCCCAGCATGAATCTCTGGCTGGTGGAGCCGTTTTCCACCGGCAAACCTGAGTGCGGGAGGTTCAGCTGCGAGGGCGGAAGGACGGGCGGCAGATTCTGCCTCTGCACCCTCTTGATGAGAGTCTGCAGGATCTGCTCCTGGGTGGATTTGCTCAGCGCCTCGTGGCCCTGGTGCGGCTCAGGACCGCCGTCCTTTCCTGGGAAGGTCCTTGGAATGTGAGGCAGAGGCCTGTTCTGGCAGAAGATCTTCCCGAGCTGCTGCGGGGGCAAACACGACCTGTCCCCCGCCTCGGCGCCGGGAGCTGCCGCCCCCTTCTCCTCCTGAGGAGCCACGGGGACAGTTTTCAATTCTGCTTTGGTCAGCGGCTTGGGCAGGATCTGCTCCAGAGGGACGCTCTTGCCCTGGAGCAGCTGGGTGACCAAAGGGTTGTTGGCAGGAATGCTGGAGCTCGCTCGGGGCAGGGCCCCACCGGGAGCAGATTTAAGGCTGGGTGCTCCGGAGGAGCTGCCGGAGGGGGGGACAGGAGCACCCACAGCTCCAGCCTGGCCCCCGGGGCCCGTGGGTGGCCGTGGGGACAGCAGAGGGGAAGGGGATTTGCCTTTGGGAAGGTCACAGCCGCTCCCCGCCGAGGCTCCCGGGGCTCCGCCGCCGCAGCCGGGCGCGTTCCCGGGGCCCGGAGCCCCCCGGGCCGGGGCAGGAGGGGCCATCCCTGCCCGGTCCCCGCTGGGGGAGCCGGGGGTGGTCCCTGCGCCGTTCCCTAGCGCCGGGGCAGCCGCGGGGGCCGCCGGCTGTAGCTGTGCTCCAGGAGGATGGCGAGCAGCTCCCGGCTCCGCCTGGCTCTCCACCTGCGAGTGGGGAGGAAACCTTCTCGAACCTCCCCCGCTTCCAGCTCCTGCCAGGTCCAGTGCCTTTGCTCCAGCTGCAGCTTGGGGGGCTCCGCCGGGGTCTCTCCCATCTCCCCCCCTGCCCGGGGGTCTCCCCCCGCCCGGGCCGGGCCCCGGCACGGCTCCCCCGGCCGAGGCGGCGGCGGCGGCGGCCGCTGCCCTCTGAGCCTTGGCCTGCTGGGCTCTGGCCTTGATGTCGGCCAAGGTCCTGGCCCCTGTCCTGCCCGGACTGCTGAGGGACAGGGGGAAGCGTGCCCTGGGAGAGACCTGGCCCGCAGGAAATGGCATCGGCGAGATTCTGGACACGGGAATCTGCAAGAGAGCGGGAGAGAAGCACAGCTGAGACACGGGGAACACCCGACCCACGGGGTTGTGTTTGCACTTTCCTCTGAGAGAACTGGTGGTGGGCCTGGAGAAATCCCTTTGGAGAAACCCCTCCTACCCCTGCCCTGAGACAAGAGGCCTGTCCGACCCTAACGTGCCTCCCGGGCAGTTTTGGGGTGCTGCAAACCCCGCTCATCCCTCATGTCAGCCCAGGGCCCCAGGCTCCCTCCCTGAAGGGCTGATCCAGCCCCTGCCCTGTCAGCCCCCGTTCCACTGTTCAACGTTATTCAGATGCAATTTCAGATCTAATTTTGTATTCAGATGTCCTTTGAAAGATGTCACCATCCTGCTGGACTCAGCCTTGCTCTTCCCTCCTGCTCACCCATCATTTGTCTCCTCATGCCTTTCTACAAAGCCATAATAATCCCCTGAGCTAGAAAAAAAATGCCAATAATTTACCCTTTCCTTCTAAAACATTTTCCCCAATGTCCCAGCTGACTTTCCCCATGTTTGCTTTCCCAACATATGTGGCGAGCCCTGTGCTGAGCCTGGTGATGTTCCCCTGCAGAGATCTCAGGGAGTTCATTTGGGGTTACATTTATTTTCAATATCCATAAAATCCTCACTGGATCCCACTGAGCTCTGATCAAGCATTTCACCACCTCATTTTTGGGGGATGACACGTCTTGGGGATATATCTGTCCCCATCTTCCCCTGCTTTGTAAGGGAAACTATTCACAATGACCTTCGATTTGCTCTGCTGTTGAATTAAATCCCACCTTTATTGCCCTGGCAGGCCAGCCCTCGTTCCTGCATGTATTCCAGACCTCTTTTATGAACAGTTTCCCCATGTGAAACTGTCACTGAGTTTCATTGATGCTTTCCTGCCTTGGTGCTGTTCTTATTAACACGGTGAGAACAATAAGCTGCTTTTAAAGTTTTGAGTTTGCAGCCTTTCAGTAGAGAAGGATGTGAACAGGGGAGCAGAATTCCTGGGACACACAGGAATACAGGAATTCAGCTTCTGCCTAAGGGCCTGGAGCTGCCTGCTGCTGACCTGGCTCCCAAAACCAGGGGCTGCCAGGCCTGGAGAGTTTCTGTCCTGCTGCCTCCCCATGCCCATCCCAGCAGGGGCCGATCCCTCCTTCCTCTCCCAGGTGAGTTCTTGCAAAGGCTCAGCAGCCAAAGGGCCTCTGCTCCTGAGATGTTACCCAAAATTCTCCTTCCTGCTCCTGCCCTGGCCTCTGCCAGAGCCTCTGTTTGCAGCAGGGAGTCTGGGCTGGCTGCAGGGGAGCCTGGAGGCGCTGGCTCCTCTGGCCCTGCGTGTCCCCAGCTGCCAGGCTGCTGCTCTGCTGGCTGTCCCCTGTGTCACCAGGGCCCTGCAGAGCCCCTGCAGCTCTCCCTGTCTGCAGCCTGCAACAGCAGGAGCTGTCCTACCCCCAGTTTGGGGCTCAGTGTCCCCCAGGGGAGGCCAAGCCGTGGCTCCATCACTGCCGGGCTCACCTTGAGCGGGGGCACCCGCGGCACCGCCGCCCCCGTGCCGGGAAAGGGCTGGTTCCGAAAGGCCTGAGGCTGCTGCTGCTGCTGCTGCTGCTGCTGCTGCTGCTGCTGCTGCTGCTGCTGCTGCTGCTGCTGCTGCTGCTGCTGCTGCTGGCAGGGCTCGGCCACACGGGGCTTCTTCTCGGGGCTGCCCGGGGCTTCCTCCCTGCTCTCCGACTTCCTCTTGTGGGCCTCCAGCCCGACCTCCATGGCCTCGCTCCCGGGGGGCTTCTTCTCCTTCTCCTTCTCCTTTTCCTGCTCCTTCTCCTTCTCCTTCTCTGGCGTGGCCGGGGCTGCCGCGGGGCTCTGCACCTTCACCTCTGCCCCGGACGCCTCGGGGCTCTTTGGTTTGCTGGGGGCACCCAGAGATTCCTTTCCTGGCACCTCCTTTGCCAGCCCAGGTTTCCTCTGCTCCTCTGCCCTGGGGCAGGCGGCACCGGGGGGTTTGTGGGGCAGGGACTCTCCGTGGGCTCTGTCCCCGGCTCTCGCCGCTCGCCGCTCCGGGGACGCCTGGGCCGGCTTGGCTGCCTTGGGCTGCGGCTCCTCTCTGCCCTCCTCCCCCGATCTGCCCCCCGGCTCCGAGGGGGACGTGCCCCGCTCCCGCTGTGGGGCCGGGGGGCTGCGGGGCCGGCCGGGCTCTGCCTCGGGCTGCGCTGTCAGTCGCTGCGACTCCTCGGGGCTCAGCCCAGAACTGCCAACAAAACACAGACTTTGCTTTGTGAAACATCCCTGTGAAAGCATCCCATCCTTAGGGAAACGGAGGCAGCATTCTCTATTTAAATAAACTCCCTGAATAGATGTCTCACACACACCCGATTCTGTGCCACGATCAGTGAGAGCCTTCCCCGCTGATAATCCTTCACAGGAAACAGAAATCGGTATCAGAGATTAAAAACAGCTAAAGGCAACACATGGAACACTGAGGAGCTCCAGGCCTGTTCCAGACACCAATTTTCCAGGCTGCAAACCCAAAGGGTTTGGCCAAGAGTGAGTATTTCCCTGTATGAGGCTCCACTGCAGCACGGGAGCAGCGTCACACGGTAACCCTGCAGAAGGGGACACTGAGAAGGAAGTGTCCCACCACCCCTTCAGCAGGAACACGGGCTCTAATTCCCAGAGTGATGTTTGGGATTACCTCCTTCTGGATTCACTTCATCCATCCCTCTCAATGATTCGTCAAATTGGGTTTTTTTCCCCCAAACACAACCCCGTGAAGGTCTGGTGAATCCATGGATTGGTTCCCCCAGAGAAGTTTTCAGGAGCTGGAGAGAACTGAGCTCCTGCTCTTGCCCACGTGCCCCCCACGCTGTCCTGCTGTCCCCCCAGTGCCCCAGCACCGGGGCTGTTGTCACCTTCCCCCCAGCACACACCTGTCCCAGGTGGCTGGTGAAGCTCCTGGTGAGCTGCACTCCCAGCCTGGTGTATCCCTGTAGTTGTTCCTACAGCTTGTAGGGACACCCCCCAGCCCCTGGCTCCCCCACAGCATCCCAACCACACCAGGAATGCCAGGAACACCCTAACTCTGGAGGGTTAAAACACCCACGAGGAATGGGAGGCACAGAGGCTGGCAGGGGAGGACAACCCAAAACCTGGCACGGTGCAGGGTTAGAAATGTCTGGTCAGTTTTTTACACCTGTGTGCTCCTTCCCAGGTCTCTCAGCACCTCGCTCAGAAACCCCAAATCCTCCCTGTAGCCCCGAAGGATGGCAAACCCCTGACGCAAGAGGAGGCAGAGAATAAAAGCCTGGCAGATCTGGGGGTTTAACGGGGTGGTGTGGGGTTGGAGCTGTGGGAATGCAGGTCCTAACCTGAGCTGGGACACACTGGGCCACCCCAGCTCCAGGAGAGGCTTGGGGGTGGCTCCAAGCAAGGAGGGGAAGAGGAGTGACATGCCAGGACAGGCTGCACTGGATGAAGGGAGATCCCGCCGGCATTTCCCGATTTCCTGGAACCAGCTGAAGGCAGAAACCTTCCTCAGGTTCCAGGGAAGCCACTGCCCATGGATGGGCCCAGCCCAGAACCCCAGAACCAGCTGAGCCCTCACCTCTGCCCGTAGTAGCTCTCGAAGAAATGCTCCTTCCACAGCTCCACCTTCTTCTCCTTCTCGATCTCCTGCCGGATCCGCAGCTGCATTTCGGGGGTGAACTCTCCTGGGGGATGCAAAAGGGATTTCTGAGCCAGGGGAGGGGTGGCTGATGGGGCACAGGCCCAGGGCAGCGTCCCAGGAGCTCAGGCTGCTGCTCCAGTGGGATGGGGCAGTCAAGGGAATGGAGCTGGGGAGGGAATTGAGCCCCAGGAGGGGCTGAGGGAGCTGGGAAGGGACTCAGCCTGGAGAAAAGGAGGCTCAGGGGGGACCTTGTGGCTCTGCACAGCTCCTGCCAGGAGGGGACAGCCAGGGGGGGTCGGGCTGTGCTCCAGGGAACAGGGACAGGAGGAGAGGGAACAGCCTGGTCAGACTTGGAAGGGCCTCACCACCCTCACAGGAAGAATTTCCCCCAGTTTCCCATCCAAACACCCAAAGGGATGGCTCAAAACACCTTGTGCTGGTGACCCTGTGCCCTGCTCTGGAACAGAATTTCCCTTCTCTGCCCCTCAGCAGTGTCTGCTTAGGAGCCACAGCTCCAGAATGCCCCAGCTCTACTGTCACTTCAGATTTTAAACACATTTTTCCTTCTTTTCTCATCTCTTCCAGAGATTTCCTGTGTCAGTTCAACACAGAACTCCACCTGCAGCCCCTCCCACCCTGAGCCCCCAGTTCTGGGCAGTGAGTCCCTGCAGAGCTGCAGCTTCTCCAGGAACTCCCTGCAGGCTTTCCCTTCTCCAGGAGCTCCCTACAGGTTTTCCCCTCTCCAGGAACTCCCTGCAGGTTTTCCCTTCTCCAGAAATTCCCTGCAGAGCTGCAGCTTCTCCAGGAACTCCCTGCAGGCTTTCCCCTCTCCAGGAACTCCCTGCAGGCTTTCCCCTCTCCAGGAACTCCCTGCAGGTTTTCCCCTCTCCAGGAACTCCCTGCAGACTTTTCCCTTCTCCAGGAATTCCCTGCAGGCCTCCCCAGCCCCTCCCCAGCCCGTTTTACCTTCTGACAGCCTCTCCTTCCAGCCCTGGGCAGCCGAGGTGAAGAATTCGTTGTTGAGCGCCGAACTGCTGAGCTTCATCAGCCCGTCAGCGCCCACCTGGGAGAGAGGGGGTCCTGGTCACCTGCTGGTCACCTGCTGGTCACCTGCTGGCCACTGCCCTGGTCACCTGCTGGTCACCTGCTGGCCACTGCCCTGGCCACCTGCTGGCCACAGCCCTGGTCACCTGCTGGCCACTGCCCTGGCCACCTGCTGGTCACCTGCTGGTCACTGCCCTGGTCACCTGCTGGCCACTGCCCTGGTCACCTGCTGGTCACTGCCCTGGCCATAGCTCTGGTCACCTGCTGGCCACTGCCCTGGTCACCTGCTGGTCACCTGCTGGTCACCTGCTGGCCACAGCCCTGGTCACCTGCTGGTCACTGCCCCGGTCACCTGCTGGCCACAGCCCCGGTCACCTGCTGGCCACTGCCCTGGCCACCTGCTGGCCACAGCCCTGGTCACCTGCTGGCCACTGCCCCAGTCACCTGCTGGTCACCTGCTGGTCACCTGCTGGCCACAGCCCCATGCCACAGCCCTGGTCACCTGCTGGTCACTGCCCTGGTCACCTGCTGGCCACAGCTCTGGTCACCTGCTGGTCACCTGCTGGCCACTGCCCTGGTCACCTGCTGGTCACCTGCTGGCCACAGCCCTGGTCACCTGCTGGCCACTGCCCTGGTCACCTGCTGGCCACCTGCTGGCCACTGCCCTGGTCACCTGCTGGCCACAGCTCTGGTCACCTGCTGGCCACCTGCTGGCCACTGCCCCGGTCACCTGCTGGTGGGCACCCTGTGCCAGGGAACAATCCCCAATTCCCAATATCCCACCCAAATGTTCCACTCTGAAGCCATTCCCTGGGTCCTGCCCCTCCATCCCTGTCCCAGCTCCCTCTCCTGCAGACTCCCTTCAGGTCCTGGAAGGTCCTGGACAATGACAGCGATTATTAGGGGACAATATCATTATTAGTGACAATTGATTAATATCATTATTAGTGACAATATCATTATTAGGTGACAATATCATTATCAGTGACAATATCACTATTAGGTGACAATATCATTATAGGGTGACAATTAATTAATGTCATTATGAGTGACAATGAGGTCACCCTGAGGTGGACTGGCTGTCCCCTGCCCCTCTGTGTACCTGGGACACCCCAGGTGAGTGTGTACCTGTGTAGAACCCCCAGGTGAGTGTGTACCCGTGTGGAACACCCCAGGTGAGTGTGTACCTGTGTAGAACACCCCAGGTGAGTGTGTACCCATGTAGAACACCCCAGGTGAGTGTGTACCTGTGTAGAACACCCCAGGTGAGTGTGTACCTGTGTAGAACACCCCAGGTGAGTGCTGTACCCCTGTAGAACACCCCAGGTGAGCTGTACCCCTGTAGAACACCCCAGGTGAGCGCTGGCCCCAGACAGAACCTCCAGGTGAGTGTGTACCCGTGTAGAACACCCCAGGTGAGTGTGTACCCATGCAGAACACCCCAGGTGAGTGTGTACCCGTGTAGAACACCCCAGGTGAGTGTGTACCTGTGTAGAACACCCCAGGTGAGTGTGTACCCATGCAGAACACCCCAGGGCAGTGTGTACCCGTGTAGAACACCCCAGGTGAGTGTGTACCCTGTAGAACACCCCAGGTGAGTGTGTACCCATGCAGAACACCCCAGGGCAGTGTGTACCCGTGTAGAACACCCCAGGTGAGTGTGTACCCTGTAGAACACCCCAGGTGAGTGTGTACCTGTGTAGAACCCCCCAGGTGAGTGTGTACCCGTGTAGAACACCCCAGGTGAGTGTGTACCCCTGTAGAACACCCCAGGTGAGCGCTGTACCTGTGTAGAACACCCCAGGTGAGTGTGTACCCCTGTAGGACACCCCAGGTGAGCCGTACCCGTGCAGAACACCCCAGGTGAGTGTGTACCCCTGTAGAACCCCCAGGTGAGTGTGTACCCCTGTAGAACCCCCAGGTGAGCGCTGTACCCCTGTAGGACACCCCAGGTGAGCCGTACCTGCCTGTCCACGTCGGGCAGCAGCAGCAGCAGGCGCTGCTGGCACTCGGGGGGCAGCAGGGAGAAGGTGTGCTTGTTGATCAGGGCCCGCAGGTTGGTGTTCACCAGGATGGAGTCGGGCGTCTCCACGTCGATCTCGGCGCAGCGGGCTCGCTTCAGCTGCCCTGGGGAGCACACACCTGGTCACCTCACCTGGGGCTGCCACCGTGGGGCTGTGCCACTGCTCCTTCTGCCTCTGCTCCAGCTGCAGGGACCTGACAATTTGGGGTTTGGTGCCTCAGGGTGAGACCTCGTGCCCAAGTGTCCAGCTCCTTGTGGGTGTTTTGGTTCATCTTGGGTGCTGCCCAAGGTGGATGCATTGAGGAATATTTTAATAAATCCCTGCTTTATTCTTTAGATTCTGTATTTTTCACATTCTGTGCTGCTTTGGTGTGTGGGTCTGGGATTCATGAGGGATGCTGAGCTCTCTGCACAGAGCAGGGAGACAAAATTCCTTCTCCAGCTGGGCACCAAGGACAAATGATCCAAACTCAGCCCAGGAGCACAAACAGCGTGGAATAAAGAGAGAAAAATAAGCAGGATGGGACTGCCTGGGCTAAAGCTGGAATGGGACAATTAACCCCAAGGTGCCAATGGAGCAGAACTGATCCCAGGGAGAGCCCCCGGGAGCGCTCGTGCATTTTGGGGCCATTTTGGTTCATTTGGGTGCAGCCCAAGGTGGATCCATTGAGGAGATATTTTAATAAATCCCTGCTTTATTCTTTAGATTCTGTATTTTTCACATTCTGCACTGCTTTGGTGTGTGGGTCTGGGCTTCATGAGGGATGGTGAGCTCTCTGCACAGAGCAGGGAGGCAAAACAATTCCTGCTCCAGCTGGGCACCAAGGACAAATGATCCAAATCTCAGCCCAGGAGCACAAACACCGTGGAATAAAGAGAGAAAAACAGGGATGGGACTTCATAACCTAAAGCTGGAATTGGACAATGAACCCCAAGGTGCCAATGGAGCAGAACTGATCCCAGGGAGAGCCCCCAGGAGCCCTTGTGCATTTTGGGGCCATTTTGGTTCATTTGGGTGCAGCCCAAGGTGGATGCATTGAGGAGATATTTTAATAAATCCCTGCTTTATTCTTTAGATTATGTATTTGTCACATTCTGCACTGCTTTGGTGTGTGGGTCTGGGCTTCATGAGGGATGCTGAGCTCTCTGCACAGAGCAGGGACACAAAACAATTCCTGCTCCAGCTGGGCACCAAGGACAATGATCCAAATCTCAGCCCAGGAGCACAAACACCGTGGAATAAAGAGAGAAAAACAGGGATGGGACTTCATAACCTAAAGCTGGAATGGGACAATGAACTCCAAGGTGCCAATGGAGCAGAACTGATCCCAGGGAGAGCCCCGGGAGCGCTCGTGCATTTTGGGACCATTTTGGTTCATTTGGGTGCAGCCCTGGCTGGGCTCTGGTGCTGCCCAAGGTGGATCCATGGAGGAGATCCTTTAATAAATCCTTTAATAAATCCCTGCTTTGTCCTTTAGCTCTGCCCAGCCTCTGTTCTAGGGCATCAGCCCCAAACATAACCCTGTGAAGATCTGGTGAATCCATGGTTGGTTCCCACCAGAGAAGTTCAGCAAGCCAGGGACTAAACAAGCTGAACCAGCTAAATCTGATTTCTACCTCCAGGTGATTTTCTAACTCCATGTCTCACCACAGCCACGTCTGCTTTAAGTCTCCAGTTTGTTCCTGGGGATTTCTCCTGGACTCTCCTGCCCTGTGCCTGCTCTCCACGGGGACAGAGACCTCAGAGTGAGGGAACAGCTGCAGCTGGGCCGGGGGAATTTGGGATGGATCCCAGGAAAGGACCTGCCCCAGGGAATGGGCACATTCCCAACCCTGCCAGAGCTCCAGGAGCCTTGGGACAGCCAGGGATGCACGGGGTGGGATTGCTGGGATAACCTGGAGCTGCATTCCATGGTCCTTGTGGGTTTCCCCCCCTCAGGACATTCCATTCCTTTGTAAGAATATCCTTAAATTCCAATCCCACCCCTGGAGAACGTAACAGGAACCAGGAAGGTCAGGAGGGCTGAGGAAGCTCCACTAAAGGGCTGGGAGCCAAATCCAGCAGGGTCTGAGGGATGGAGACCCAGGGAGGAATTTATTGTCCCTTTTCATGTTGTTAGACATTAGGACATTAAAAAACCCATAAAAAATGCAGGTCCAACAGCTGGGGATTCCCAGGAGAGGCCCAGCTGATGGGGACTGGGCAGGGCTGAGCTGAGGATGGATTATTATGGATTATGGATTATTTATCCCAATTCCCAGGAGAGGCCCAGCTGATGGGGAATGGGCAGGGCTGAGCTGAGGATGGATTATTATGGATTATTATTATGGATCATGGATTATTTATCCCAATTCCCAGCAGAGGCCCAGCTGATGGGGACTGGGCAGGGCTGATCTGAGCATGGATTATTATGGATTATTATTTATTATTATATTATTTTTATTATTAATAATTTTAAAATTAATATTAGTATTAGTATTAGTATTATTATGGACTATGGATTATGGATTATTTATCCTAATTCCCAGGAGAGGCCCAGATGATGGGGACTGGGCAGGGCTGAGCTGAGGATGGATTATTATGGATTATGGATTATTATGGATTATTATTTTATTATTATCTTGTTATTTTTATTATTATTAATTTTATTATTAATAATAATTTTATTATTATGAGTATTAGTATTAGTATGTATTATGGATCATGGATTATTTATCCCAATTCCCAGGAGAGGCCCAGCTGATGGAGACTGGGCAGGGCTGATTTGAGGATGGATTATTATGGATTATTATTATCTTTAATTTTTATTATTTTATTAGTAATAATTTTATTATTAGTATTAGTATTATTAGTATTAGTATTATTATTAGTATTATTATGGACTACGGATTATGGATCATGGATTATTTATCCCAATTCCCAGGAGAGGCCCAGCTGATGGGGACTGGGCAGGGCTGATCTGAGGATGGATTATTATGGACTATTATTATTATGGATTATGGATTATTAGCCCAATTCCCAGCAGGCTGGCAGCCCCTTGCAGGCTCCTCAGCAATGGAACTATTATTATTATTATGGATTATGGATTATGAACCCAATTCCCAGCAGGCTGGCAGCCCCTTGAAGGCTCCCTCAGCAATGGAACTATTATTATTATTATTATTATTATGGATTATGGATTATGAACCCAATTCCCAGCAGGCTGGCAGCCCCTTGAAGGCTCCCTCAGCAATGGAACTATTATTATTATTATTATTATTATGGATTATGGATTATTAACCCCATTCCCAGCAGGCTGGCAGCCCCTTGCAGGCTCCCTCAGCCATGGAACTATTATTATTATTATTATTATTATTATGGATTATGGATTATTAGCCCAATTCCCAGCAGGCTGGCAGCCCCTTGCAGGCTCCCTCAGCAATTGAACTATTATTATTATTATGGATTATGGATTATTAGCCCAATTCCCAGCAGGCTGGCAGCCCCTTGCAGGCTCCCTCAGCAATTGAACTATTATTATTATGGATTATGGATTATGGATTATGAAAAGCCCTGGGAAGGCAGGGAGAGCAGGGACTCGTCTCTTACGTGCGTGGAGCCTGTCAGATCTTGGGAAGGGCTTCTTGGCCAGCCCTGGCAGGGAGTTCTCGAGCTTCACCGAGGGTGAGGAGCTGGAGGTGGAGTTTGGGGGGCTGCTGGAATGTCCATCTGCCTGCTTCCCTTCCCAGCCTGCCAGAAAGGGACACGTGGAACACGGGTGTGCACAGAGGGGTCCTGCACCAGGATCCTCCTGCATGGAACAGAGCTTCTCCACCCCCCAAAGCCACCCAGCAGTGCCAGGACAGGCATTCCCGAGCTCCCAGAGCCACCCCTGCAGTGCCAGGACAGGCATTCCCCAGCTCCCAGAGCCACCCCAGCAGTGCCAGGACATTCCTGAGCTCCCAGAGCCACCCCAGCAGTGCCAGGACATTCCTGAGCTCCCAGAGCCACCCCTGCAGTGCCAGGATATTCCTGAGCTCCCAGAGCCACCCCAGCAGTGCCAGGACATTCCTGAGCTCCCAGAGCCACCCCTGCAGTGCCAGGACATTCCTGAGCTCCCAGAGCCACCCCTGCAGTGCCAGGACATTCCTGAGCTCCCAGAGCCACCCCTGCAGCTCCAGGACATTCCTGAGCTCCCAAAGCCACCCCAGCAGTGCCAGGACATTCCTGAGCTCCCAGAGCCACCCCAGCAGCTCCAGGATAGACATTCCCAAGCTCCTGGGGTGCTCCTGCTCCTGCTGAATGCAGGAGATCCCTTGGAGCCACCAGAAGATCCCACACCAAAGGCACAGACATCACATCCCATGTGCTCTGAGTCCACCTCCCAGTGAATCCCAATTTATTTCCCATCTGATCTGACCCAGCACGGTCCCATTCACACTTCCAGAGCTCCTGGCAGGGAAGTCTCTCCAAACCCTCCTTGTCCTTGCTAAACTTCACCCCTCTCCTGCAGCTTTTGTCCTTGCCCTGGGGAACTCCTCCTCCTCTTCCCAGTGCTCAGTTCACCATCCTGCCTCCTCTCCCTCACACAAGCTCTTCCAGCTCTGAATAAATCCCTGGAATTGTGCAGCCAGTGCCTTGCTTTCCACCAGGATGTCGTTCCCTCCCTCCTATCTGTTTGATTCCCTGCTCTCTCCACACCTCTGCGTGTCCCTGCTGGGAGCTGTCCCTGTGCAGCACCACAGGGATGGGGTGAAAAGGACTTTGTGGAGAAAAACACAAAAAAGGAACGTTCCAGGCCTTGACAGGGAGGGATTTACAGCCTGAGGGGGCTCCTGAACACGCTGGTCCCACCTGGAACCTGAGGTGAGGTAAGGAAGAACTGAGGAAGCTGAAGAAGAACTCAAGGAAAAGCCTGGAAGCAGGAAAAGATCCTGACTGAGCCTAGGGAAAGCATCCTAAGGCTGGAGTTACACAGCAGGAAGGGCAAAACTCCCTGGCCTTGGCACCTCTGGGCTCTCTCCCAACAGGGAGGAGAAAGTTCCACCAGGAATGAAGGGCAGATCCTGCCCCAGGACAGGCTGAGGCCCGGGGCAGCTCCCAGGCACTCCCAGCTTCCCAGGAAAATCCTGGAAGATCCTCGAAAATCCTGGATCTTCTGGAAAATCCTCGCCCTGCCCAGGACATTCCCACAATTGTCCCAAGAAATGCAGACACAGATGTGACACTGGGACTGGAATGGGGACAGTGGGAATGCCCCTGGCTGAGAATGGGGACACTGAGGATGGCCCTGGATGGGAATGGGGACAGTGGGAATGCCCCTGGCTGGGAATGGGGACACTGTGGATGGCCCTGGATGGGAATGGGGACACTGAGGATGGCCCTGGACGGGAATGGGGACAGTGGCAATGCTCCTGGCTTGGAGAGGGACTGGCACAAGCTGGATGTGTGCCACAGCCCAGCTGCCTGCAGGGAATGGGGCTGGAATGCTGAGCCCTGCCAGGGATTGTCTGGGGCACTACAGCTGCCCCAAGCCAGGGAATTCCAGAGGTGCCAGGCAAGTTGGCAGGTACCAGGGAATTCCAGAGGTGCCAGGGAAACCAGCAGGTGCCAGGGAATAGCAGAGGTGCCAGGAAATCTGGCAGGTGCCAGGGAATTCCAGAGGTGCCAGGGAATTCCAGAGGTACCAGGAAACTGGGCAAGTACCAGGGAATTGGGCAGGTGCCAGGGAACTCAGCAGGTGCCAGGGAATTTGGGCAGGTGCCAGGGAATTTGGCAGATGCCAGGGAATTCCAGAGGTGCCAGAGAATTCCAGAGGTGCCAGGGAATTCCAGAGGTGCCAGGGAATTCCAGAGGTGCCAGGGAATTCCAGAGGTGCCAGCTCCAGTGCCCGGTGCCTTGGCAGGGAATTCCAGAGGTGAATTCCTCTGGCCCTGCTCCAGTCCGGCTGCAGCAGCGTGGAGGAGAAGGGTTCAGGGACTGGGCTGGGGTCAATAATTAACAATGAATTAACAATAATTAGCACTGATGAATCCCCCACAGCCCCAGGCTTTACTGGAGAGCTCAGTGGCTGAAGGAAGCTCGGGATTTGGGATGTGGATCAGGACTTGGGGCACCCTGGGCAGGGCAGGTGGCCCTGCCACGGCAGGGGTGGCACTGGGTGGGCTCTGAGGTCCCTTCCCAGCCCAGCTCTTTGGGATTTGGGGGTTCTGTGCCTCAGAACCAGGCCCTTACCGAGGCACTCGGTTACTCTGCAGAGAGATCAGGGAAGGGAGTAGCAAGAATTTGGGATACCGTGGAAAATCTGGTGCTGGCAGGGAGCTCCTGCCCCGCTGGAGCAGCCAGAGCAGAGCAGTGACCTCGCTGCTCGCTGACACCACAAATTCTGGAAACCCCTCAGGGACCTTCCAGATGAGAACAGGACCTGGAACCACCCTGCAGGATGAGGAGCCACCTTGGAAAGCATCAATACCAGGAGAAATCCCAGAATATAAACACCAGGAGAAATCCCAAAACATAAACACCGGGAGAAATCCCCAAACATAAACAGCAGGAGAACCCCAAATAGAAATAGGAGGAGAACCCCAAACTGAAATAACCAGGAGAAATCCCCAAACAGAAACAGCAGGAGAACCCCAAATACAAATAACCAGGAGAAATCCCAGAACATGAACACCAGGAGAAATCCCAAAACATAAACAGCAGGAGAACCCCAAAACATAAACAGCAGGAGAACCCCAAAACATAAACAGCAGGAGAACCCCAAACATAAACACCGGGAGAAAGCCCCAAGCATAAACAGCAGGAGAACCCCAAATACAAATAACCAGGAGAAATCCCAGAACATGAACACCAGGAGAAATCCCATAACAGAAATACCAGGAGAAATTCCAGAACATAAACACCAGAAGAACCTCAAATAGAAATAACCAGGAGAAATCCCAGAACAGAAATACCAGGAGAAATTCCAGAACATAAGCACCAGAAGAACCTCAAATAGAAATAACCAGGAGAAATCCCAGAACAGAAATAACCAGGAGAACAGAAATAACCAACAGAAGCCCCAGGTCTCTCCAAGGTCTCTCCTTACACTCAGAGCTATCCAAGATTGTCCAAGATCCCTCCAAGATCCCTCCCAGGTCTCTCCCAGGTCTGTCCTCACCAGGTGCCTCCCTCACAGCCCCGGTGCAAATGCTGAAGGCTCCGGAGCCCACAGGAAGCTGCAGAGCTGAGTGGGTCCCTCTGCTCCAGCCCCGCTCCCTGTGCCCTGAGCTCCCCATTCCCTGAGCTCCCCATTCCCTGAGCTCCCCATTCCCTGAGCTCCCCATGCCCTGAGCTCCCCATGCCCTGAGCTCCCCGTGCCCTGAGCTCCCCATTCCCTGAGCTCCCCATGCCCTGAGCTCCCCGTGCCCTGAGCTCCCCATTCCCTGAGCTCCCCATTCCCTGAGCTCCCCGTGCCCTGAGCTCCCCGTGCCCTGAGCTCCCCATTCCCTGATCCCCCCATTCCCTGAGCTCCCCATTCCCTGATCCCCCCATTCCCTGAGCTCCCCTGGGTGCCCTGAGCTCTCCATTCCCTGAGCTCCCCGTGCCCTGAGCTCTCCATGCCCTGAGCTCCCCATGCCCTGAGCTCTGTGTGCCCTGAGCTCTGCATTCCCTGAGCTCCCCATGCCCTGAGCTCCCCATTCCCTGAGCTCCCCATTCCCTGAGCTCCCCATGCCCTGAGCTCCCCATTCCCTGAGCTCCCCATTCCCTGAGCTCCCCATGCCCTGAGCTCCCCATGCCCTGAGCTCCCCATGCCCTGATCTCCCCATTCCCTGAGCTCCCCATTCCCTGAGCTCCCCGTGCCCTGAGCTCTCCATGCCCTGAGCTCTGTGTGCCCTGAGCTCTGTGTGCCCTGAGCTCCCCATTCCCTGAGCTCTCCATGCCCTGAGCTCCCCATTCCCTGAGCTCCCCATTCCCTGATCCCCCCATTCCCTGAGCTCCCCATTCCCTGAGCTCCCCATGCCCTGAGCTCTGTGTGCCCTGATCTCCCCATGCCCTGAGCTCCCCATTCCCTGAGCTCCCCATTCCCTGAGCTCCCCATTCCCTGAGCTCCCCATTCCCTGTGATCCCCCCATTCCCTGTTCCCCCCATTCCCTGATCCCCCCATTCCCTGATCCCCCATTCTCTGATTTCCCCATGCCCTGATCCCCCCATTCCCTGATCCCCCCATTCCCTGATCCCCCATTCCCTGATCCCCCCATTCCCTGATCCCCCCATTCCCTGATCCCCCCATTCCCTGTGATCTCCCCATTCCCTGATTTCCCCATTCCCTGTGATCCCCCCATTCCCTGTGATTTCCCCATTCCCTGATCTCCCCATTCCCTGTGATCCCCCCATTCCCTGTGATTTCCCCATTCCCTGATCTCCCCATTCCCTGTGATCCCCCCATTCCCTGATTTCCCCATTCCCTGCCCTACCTGAGCGCCCGGTCGTGGCCTTGGCCTTGAGCAGGACGTGCTGGCTGGGGGGCAGCCCCACACCCGGCCCCACACCCGGCCCCACGGCGGCCCTGCACTGCTGCTGCTGCTGCTGCTGCTGCTGCTTCTGCTGCTGCTGCTTCAGGGCCTGCGGGGAAACAGGGACAGGGATCAGACACCCCACAGCCCGTGGGGCACAGGGATCAGACACCCCACAGCTGTGGGGCACAGGGCACAGCCACCCCACAGCTTATGGGGCACAGAGCACAGCCACCCCACAGCCATGGGGCACAGGGATCAGCCACCCCACAGCCATGGGGCACAGAGCACAGCCACCCCACAGCTTATGGGGCACTGACCTGCTTGAGAGCCTTCTTGCTGTGCTTCTGGGAGGAGGAGAGGCCCTTGCCCGGGATGGACGGGGAGGGACAGCCGGACTGTGGGGAGCCCGTGGGGGCCAGGCGGGACGACACTGCGGGACACGTGGAAATATAAATGTAAATAGAATTATAAATATAACCATAAACATAGCTATATAAATATATACACTTATATCCTCCAATAGAAATATAAATTCTATATATAAACTATCAAAATATAATTGTAAATGTAGATCTAAATATAAATATAAAACATAAATACGAAATGTAAATTTAGATATACATATATAACCATGTAAATAAAAATATAAACATACAGCTGTAAATATAAATATAAATTCTATATACAACTATAGACTATAAATGTAAATAATAATAAAAATTATAAAGTGTAACTATAAATAAATAGAAATCTAAATAAATATATAAGTATGAATGTAAGTATAAAATCTTAAATAAAAACATAAATATGGATATGGACATATAGAAATATATAAATATTTATTAATTTCTATATTACATATATACATTATATTCAATTATGTAAATATAAATATATATGTATAAAATATCATATATAAATGTAACTACACATAGAATTGCAAATGTAACAAGTGCTTTGGGTGGGGAGGGACCTCAGAGCCCAGCCAGTGCCACCCCTGCCACCAGGGACACCTCCCTGAGGCTCCCAGGGACTCGCTGTGCCCTCGGGCTGCCACCAGCACTGCTGGGACACGGACAGGGCAGAGGGACAGGCGGGGACACAGGGACAGAGGGACAAGGACAGGGCAGAAGAAAGACAGCGCAGAGGGACAGGGCAGAGGGACAGGGACAAGGAGAGGGCAGAGGGACAGGCAGGGACAGAGGGACAAGGACAGGGCAGAAGGACAGGCGGGGACACAGGGACAGAAGGACAAGGACAGGGCAGAAGGACAGGCAGGGACAGAAGGACAAGGACAGGGCAGAAGGACAGGCAGGGACACAGGGACAGAAGGACAAGGACAGGGCAGAAGGACAGGCAGGGACAGAAGGACAAGGACAGGGCAGAAGGACAGGCAGGGACAGAAGGACAGAGGGACAAGGACAGAAGGACAGGCAGGGACACATGGACAAGGACAGGGCAGAGGGACAGGCGGGGACAGAAGGACAAGGACAGGGCAGCAGGACAGGCAGGGACAGAAGGACAAGGACAGGGCAGCAGGACAGGCAGGGACAGAAGGACAGGCAGGGACAGAAGGACAGGCAGGGACACAGGGACAAGGACAGGGCAGAGGGACAGGCAGGGACAGAAGGACAAGGACAGGGCAGAGAGACAGGCAGGGACACAGGGACAAGGACAGGGCAGAAGGACAGGCAGGGACACAGAGACAGAGGGACAAGGACAGGGCTGAGGGACAGGCAGGGACAGAGGGACAAGGACAGGGCAGAGGGACAGGGCAGAGGGACAGGCAGGGACAGAAGGACAGGCCGGGACACAGGGACAAGGACAGGGCAGAGGGACAGGCGGGCACAGCTCCTGCCCACAGCCCTGCCCCTCCCTGCCTGGCACCCCCTGCTCTGAGCCAGCAGCAGCGTCCCAGCCCAGCTGGGGACAGCAGCACAGATGTCACCTGGCTGTGGGAACATCAGGGATGAGAGGGGAAGTCCCAGAGCCACCAGCAGCCCTGGGTCAGCCCTGGGATGCTCTGGAAGTCAGGGAGCTGCAGTGGGCCTTGCTCTGACCATTGACTGATCCTTTAACTATTAACTCATTCTTTAACTATTAACTCATTCTTTAACTATTAACTCATTCTTTAACTACTAACTCGTTCTTCAAATATTGAATAATTCATTGGGCACTGACTCATTCTCCCCTGGCAGCTCTGGCTGCCCCTGATCCCTGGAATGCCCAAGGCCAGGCTGGGCACTGGGACACCCTGGGACAATGGAAGTGTCCCTGCCATGGCAGGGGTGGCACTGGGTGGGCTCTGAGGTCCCTCCAACCCATTCCATGACTCTCTGAACTCCTGTGCTGGGAGATGACAAACCCAGAGGGCACAGGGAGTGTGCCCAGGTTGTCAGTGAGGGCAGAGATGTCTGGAGCATTCATTCCTGTCCTTCCCTTCAAAAGGTTTCATTGCCCACAAATGGCAGAAACACACAAATCTGACTGGAAGGAAATCCTGGCCACGAAGCCCAGCTGAAATCTGCAGCTCCTCAGAGCTCCGAGGAATTCTCATCAGGAACCACAGGGAGTGACATCACTGCACACACGGAATGGGGGAGCGCCAAAGGAAGCAGTTAAGATAAAAAATAAAAAATAAAAAATGGGTAATTATTGCTCACAGCCCCGCAGGGGGAAGGAGTCTGGGCTGGGAGTGTCACTGCAGGCCAGGACTCTGAGGGGCAAAGCTGCTCTGAGCAGCCAGTGCAGGAGAAATGCCAAAAATCCAGAGTCCCTGAGGTTGGAAAAGAGCTCCCAGCCCATCCAGTCCAGCTGTGTCCAATCCCCACCTTGTCCCCAGCCCAGAGCTCTGAGTGCCACATCCAGGAATTCCTTGGACACCTCCAGGCACCCCAACCCTCCCTGGGCAGCCCCTGCCAAGGCCTGAGCACCATTTCCATGCAGAAATTCCTGCTGCTGCCCACCCTGAGCCTGCCCTGGCCTGTTTGAACCTTTCCCAAATCTTCCAACCTGTTTTCAGTACCTGACTTTTTATAGACTCCAAATTGGAGATTTTGAAGCCTGAGGTGGTCAAACAGAGCTGTGGGAGCCTGGAGGGACCCTCAGTTGTGCAAAGACTCAAGCCAAGCTGATCACTGCCTACTGGAGAAGGATCATCCATCCATCATCTGGCCTAGCTCATTTTCCCTTAAAGCTGGCTTTACAGTCTCTTTTTTCCCCCCATAATTTTCCTTTTTAGCACAGAAACTGGGGCTGGGTATCGCTGGAGGAGCCCCAGCAGCACTGTGCCTCGTGGTGAGCACAACCCCTGCACCTTGTCCCAGCCTGCCAGCCCTGGTGAGGCTCTGCCAGGAGCACCTGAGTGAGGCTTTTCCCCTCCTCAGCTTTCAGGATGGTTTAAAACACCACAGAACCCAGGAATCATCCTCTGAAAATCATGGAACTGTGAGACCATGGAGTCCAACCATCCCCAGCACTGCCAAAACCACCTCTGTCCCCAAGTGCCACATCCACAGGGCTTTAAATGCCTGCAGGGATGGGGAATCCACCCTGTGCCAGGCTTTGAGCACCTTGTCCACGAAGGGATTGTTCCCAAAACCCAACCTGGACCTTCCCATGGTGACCTCAGGTGTTTCCACAAGGCCTGCATCCAAAAAAGCCGTTTGTATCACCAAATTCCAGCAGCTGCTCCACTTCCAGGCCCAAGCCACGGGGTCTGTGTCACCTCCATGGCCACAGAGAGGCCCCAAAAGGGGAACTGGGCTGATGGGCTTCTTGAGCTAGGTCTTATGAGCTCTTAGAGAACTTATCACACTTGAGATAGTTGAGCTACTCTGAATGGCATGAAATTAGCAGGATGGCTTCTGAGGTAGTGTTGGAAACAGAAAAAGGTTTGATAAAAGGCAAAATAACAAAGCTCTTACAGAGAAAAACTCAGCCAGGGGCAAAGAGGATCTTGCTCCTGCTAAAGCACCCCACAAAAGTCATTATTTCCTTTGTTCTCCTCCTTTGCTAGTGAATTACTTAGGCAGGATCTCTTGGCCTCTGTCTAATCAGGTTTGAGGTGAAGTCCAAAAGGTCCTGTGAGGTGTCTTTTGAGCAAATTGGGAGAGAGATTTGTGGGCTTTTTGCCTTTTTAAGCAGACAAAGAATAACTGAGTCACTCCCCAACAAGGGGCAGTTCCTACACTGGGCCAGGAGCTCTTCCCTTACCTGCATGGGGCCCTGCCTGGAGCTGCTCCGTGAACATTCCTGCTGCTCCAGCCCCTCCTGGGGCTCTGCTCTGCCTCCCAAAATCCCAGAGCTGCTCGGTGCTGCCAGAGCACTTGGGTTTTTGCACAAATAAGGAAGTGGCTGCCGCTGTTATCCGGCCACGCTTCCTGCTCTGCCGGGGATGAGCACAGGCACGGAGCAGCTCCTGCCCTGCCTGCCCCACTCTGCTCTCCACCTCCATCCCCTCCTCTCAGCAGCCAGCCCTGCTCCTCACACCCTGCAGGAACAGCAGTGCCCTGCCTGAGCCCTGCTTCCCACCAAAACCCCGGGGATGGGCCGATCCCAAAGGTGGGGATGCTGCTGACCCCATCCCCACACAGGGCTGAGCTGAGTTTGGGATGTCCTCCAGCTCAGCCCTGAGATTTGGGATGTTGTTCATGAGGAAGGAGGTCCTTGTGTGCTCCATGTGCCAGGTTTTTGTGTGCTCCATGGTCCTGCAGGAGTGCTGCACGCCAGGGCTGATGCTCCAGAGGAATCCTCCTCACTGGTTACAAACAGCAAACAAATGGAGCAGGAGAAAGTAAAACAAGCAGGAAAAACCTCAGGGGAACCTTGAGGATCTCTGCCAGCACCAGCCCTGCCTCTGCTGCTGCCCCAAAGCCAGGATGGGAGTGGGGATGGCCCAGGGGCTCCCAGGGCTGCAGGATCCCTAAATTTCTCATTTCCACTTCACTCATCCCTGCCTCTGCTGCTGCCCCAAAGCCAGGATGGGTTGGGATGGCCCAGGGGCTCCCAGAGCTGCAATTCCCTTATTTCACTTCACTCATTTCTGCCTCTGCTGCTGCCCCAAAACCAGGATGGGAGTGGGGGTGGCCCAGTGGCTCCCAGGGCTGCAATTCCCCCATTTCACTTCACTCATCCTTGCCTCTGCTGCTGCCCAAAGCCAGGATGGGTTGGGATAGCCCAGGGGCTCCCAGGGCTGCAGGATCCCTAATTTCTCATTTCCACTTCACTCATCCCTGCTTCTACTGCTGCCCCAAAGCCAGGATGGGCTGGGATGGCCCAGGGGCTCCCAGGGCTGCAATTCCCCCATTTCTCATTTCCACTTCACTCATCCCTGCCTCTGCTGCTGCCCAAAGCCAGGATGGGTTGGGATGGTCCAGGAGCTCCCAGAGCTGCAGGATCCCTCATTTCCACTTCACTCATCCCTGCCTCTGCTGCTGCCCCAAAGCCAGGATGGGTTGGGATGGCCCAGGGGCTCCCAGGGCTGCAATTCCCCCATTTCCACTTCACTCATCCCTGCCTCTGCTGCTGCCCCAAAACCAGGATGGGTTGGGATGGCCCAGGGCTCCCAGGGCTGCAGATTTCCCTCATTTCCACTTCACTCATCCCTGCCTGCAGGACGGGGTGATGAGCCAGGCCTGGGATGGAGCTGAGCTCACTTCCTTCCTCCTCATGGCAGCTTTTTGGGTATGAAATGGCACTTTTTGTATGTAGCAAGGTAACGAAGCTGCAGGAAATGAAAAGAACCCTTCTGGATGCATAAAGGAAATTAAATACTGAAAATGAAAGAGAATCTTCCCTGCAGACTTTACAGAATGCCAGACTGGTTTGAGATGGAGGCACCTTAAAGCTCATCCAGTGCCACCCTCAGGGACAGCTGCCACTGTCCCAGGTGGCTCCAAGCCCTGTCCAACCTGGCCTTGGGCACTTCCAGCACAGCTCTTTTCCATCTTTTAGCTCCCCAGTGCAGCTGCTCCAGTACAGAGCACTGGGGGCTCCACCTGCTGAAAATTACCCCAAAATCTCACTGAGTGCCTCAAGAAGGTCACTCACAGAGATCTGAGCTTCAAAATGCTTCAGGCAGAGATTGTTTGAAGTTCACAGAATCCCAGGATCCCTGAGGCTGGAAAATCCCTCCCAGCCCATCCAGTCCCAGCTGTGCCCCATCCCCATCTAGAAATGGATTTCTAGAAAATTTTTTAAATTTGACTGAAGGTTTATACAGTGTGTATCTGTATGTAAATTTTGAGATAAGAAATGCTGATTTAGAAATCTTATCGAATAGGATAGATATTACTGAGAGAGAAACTGAATTAGAAACAAGTTTTAAAGGATGGTCCTGCAAATAACATTAGATATTTTGGAGAAATAGAAGTGTCAAACATATATTGTAGTAGGATTTATGAGGGGTAATTTTAGATTATTTGTTTTACAATATTTATAATATAAATATATAGCCCCTTAATTTCCCATTATAATAATATAGAAGGAGTGGGTTTCCATTTTCAATTTTGTCAGAGTTCAGGAGCACCCAGAATCACAGGATATGATTATCTGCAGGTGCTTTATTGCAGAGCTCTGGCAATCAGGGGTGCAGACCCAAATCTGACTCTGACATGGCTTTTGAGCTGAACATATTTTATATTCTATCATTATATAACTTACATATTAATTATCAAACTTATATTGTTCTATTGTGTACATTGACATGAGTTTCTCGTGATCCTTCTTAGGCCCCTGACCACAGTTTCTCATTATTATTTTTATGATTAATCAGTAATTATATTTAATTACTAAACAATCATCACATCTAACAGTTATATCATTTATCATGTACTAGCTACACAGGTGCAGTTATAGCAAGGTACAAGGCCTTCATGTACCTAGGGTGGTTTTTTTTTTTCAGGGCCTAATAAGCTTAATTTTCCTTTTAACCCCAAATCCCCATGATGCCTTCATGTACCTAGGGTGGTTTTTTTTTTTTCAGGGCCTAATAAGCTTAATTTTCCTTTTAACCCTAAATCCCCATGATGCCTTCATGTACCTAGGGTGGTTTTTTTTTCAGGGCGTACTAAGCTTAATTTTCCTTTTAACCCTAAATCCCCATGATGCCTTCATGTACCTAGGGTGGTTTTTAAGCTTAATTTTCCTTTTAACCCTAAATCCCCATGATGCCTTCATGTACCTAGGGTGGTTTTTTTTTTCAGGGCCTACTAAGCTTAATTTTCCTTTTAACCCTAAATCCCTGTGATTTTAAAACCCTTTTACTATCAATTTCAGGGGAGGCTCCTTCCTAAACCGCAGCACTCAGGTTCCTGCCCCTTCCCTGCCCACCTGGAGGTCTCCACACCTGCACTGAGCTGAGCTGGGGCCATGCTGAGGCCAGAGATGTGCCAGGGACAGGTTTCAGCTCCCCTCCCCGGGCAGGAACTCACCTTTCCTTTTCCACCTGCTCTTCCTCCTGTCCTTGGCGGCGCAGGCGTCGCTGCTGGAGCTGCTGCGCTCCGAGCTCTGCGAGTCAGAGTGGGCATCGCTGCTCTCCTCCGAGCCCTCCGACAGCTCCTTCAGCCCCTCGGGGATGTCCTTCTGCCAGGGGACAGCGAGCACAGGGGTCACCCCACGCCAGGCACAGAACCCCAAAAAAACAGACAGGTTTGCTCCCCACGTGTGACCCTCTGAGTGCCCCACGGCTGCTCCAGAGCTGGCCCCAAAGCCTCCTGTGGGTCCCTAAAAACACCCCGAGGGCAGGGGACACGTCCTGAACTCTGTCCTCATCGTCACCCCCCAGCCTGCCCCTCCCTGATTCCCCATCCCTGATCGCCAGCCCCACTGCAAGGCAGGGAGGGACCCAGGGGATGGATCCCAGTGCCAGAGGGCTGGATGGGAGATTGGGAATTGGGGGATACAGGGATTAGGATCCCTGGCAGTGCCCGAGGCCAGGCTGGACACTGGGACACCCTGGGACAGTGGCAGGTGTCCCTGCCATGGCAGGGGTGGCACTGGGTGGGCTCCAGAGACAAACCCACCCCAAATCAGGAGTGCTGTGAGCCAGCTTCCCCCTGGTGTTTTAACACAGCTTATTTCTAAAGGCAATTCCCCGTTATTCCCTCTGTGACTGATATGGGGACAAGGTGATTTCCCATCTCTACACAGGAGCCGAGGGCAGTGAGGTGACCCTCTTAGGGCTGGGCCTTCATTAACACTTTAATTTAATTACTCCTTCCCTTCTGGGACAGTAACTGCCACCAGCACAGTGCACAGTGGGGGAAGAGCTGCAGTGACCCTCTCATGGCTGGGCCTTCATTAACATTTTAATTTAATTACTCCTTCCCTTATGGAACAGTAACAGCCACCAGCAGAGTGGGTGAAGAGCTGCAGTGACCTCTTAGAGCTGGGCCTTCATTAACACTTTATTTTCACTTATTTTATTTCATATATTTTATTTTATTTTCATTTATTTCATTTAATATATTTTATTTTGTTTCATATATTTTATTTTCCTTTACTTTATTTCATAGATTTAATTTCATTCTTTTATTTCATGCAATTGTTTTTTTTTTCTTTTATTAATTTCATTTTATTTTATTTACTTTCACATATTTTTATTTTTATTTATTTTATTTAATTTCATTATTTTATTTTGTTTTATTTTATTTCATTTTATTTTCATGTACTTTATTTCATACATTTTATTTTACTTTGTTTTATTTTATTTCATTTCATTTGATTTAATTTCATTATTCTATTTCATATGTTTTATTTTAATCTCTTTTATTACATTGATTTTATTTCATATATTTTGTTTTCATTTGTATTATTTCATACATTTCATTTCATTATTTTATTTTCATTTATTTAATTTATTTTATTTTATTTTATTTCATTTAATTTCATTTCATTATTTTATTTATTTTATTTTCACTTACTTTATTTCATATATTTTATTTTATTTTAATGTATTTTTATTTAATTTAATTTCATTATTTTATTTATTTTATTTATTTTATTTATTTTCACTTACTTTATTTCATATATTTTATTTTTATTTATTTTTATTTTATTTCATTTTCATTTCCCCCACCTCCGAACCAGAAAACCCTTAATCCCCTCGGGGATTCCCAGCCCGGGGCACTCTGGCACCCCACCCCAACCTTTTCCCAGTGGTGCCCGGGGCTGGCACTCACCTGGTGGGGCTGGCACTCACCTTGAGGGGCTGGCACTCACCTGGTGGGGCTGGCACTCACCTTGAGGGGCTGGCACTCACCTGGTGGGGTTGGCACTCACCTGGTGAGGCTGGCACTCACCTTGAGGGGCTGGCACTCACCTGGTGGGGCTGGCACTCACCCTGGTGGGGCTGGCACTCACCTGGTGGGGCTGGCACTCACCTTGAGGGGCTGGCACTCACCTGGTGGGGCTGGCACTCACCCTGGTGGGGCTGGCACTCACCTGGTGGGGCTGGCACTCACCTTGAGGGTATAACACCCACCCTGCCCGGGACCTGGTGGGGCTGGCACTCACCTTGAGGGTGTAACACCCACCCTGCCCAGGACCTGGTGGGGCTGGCACTCACCTTGAGGGTGTAGACGCCCATCCTGCCCGGGACCTTGTAGAAGATGCCCTCCTCGCCACGGGAGTTGGTGTGCAGCATGGCATTCAGGCAGGCCAGGGGGGACGTCCCGCTGCGGAGAGAGCCGGGCAGGGTCGGTGGGAGCCCCCCCTGGGCACGGAGACCCCCGGGCAGGGAGCCCCCATGGACACAGAGACCCCATGGGCATGTGCAGGGAGCCCCCCAGAGCATGGGCATGGAGCTCCCCAGGGCACGGAGACCCCCGGGCAGGGAGCCCCCATGGACACAGAGCCCCCAGGGCATGGGCAGGGAGCTCCCCAGGGCATGGAGCACCCCAGGAATGGGCACGGAGCCCCCCAGGAATGGGCACGGATCTCCCTAGGGCATGGGCATGGAGCTCCCCAGGGCATGGGCAGCCCCCCAAGGGCATGGACACCCCCACAGGGCAGAGCCCCCCGGGCACGGAGGCCCCCAGGAATGGGCACAGAGCCCCCCAGGGCATGGGCATAGAGCCCCCCAGGGCACGGAGCACCCCAGGAATGGGCACAGAGCCCCCAGGGCATGGGCAGCCCCCAGGGCACGGAGCCCCCCGGGCACGGAGGCCCCCAGGAACAGGCACGGAGCCCCCCAGGGCATGGGCATAGAGCCCCCCAGGAATGGGCACGGAGCCCCCCAGGGCACGGAGCCCCCCAGGGCACGGGCAGGGAGCTCCCCAGGGCACGGAGCCCCCCAGGAATGGGCACGGAGCCCCCAGGGCATTGGCAGCCCCCCAGGGCACAGAGCCCCCTGGGCATGGAGGCCCCCAGGAACAGGCATGGAGCCCCCCAGGGCATGGGCAGGGAGCTCCCCACAGCACAGAGCCCCCCAGGAATGGGCACGGAGCCCCCAGGGCATGGAGCCCCCCAGGAATGGGCATGGAGCCCCCCAGGAATGGGCATGGAGCCCCCAGGGCACGGGCAGGGAGCCCCCCAGGTATGGAGCCCTCGGGGCATGGAGCCCCCCAGGGCATGGACACCCCCCCCAGGCAGACCCCAGGCAGCCCCCAGCCCCGGGCAGCCCCCCAGCCCCCCAGCAGCCCCCCAGCCCCCGGGCAGGAGCGCAGAGCCAGCCCCTGCTCCCAGGGGAATGCAAGCTGAAGCCAGCAAAGGGAAACAGGGCAGGGATGCTGCGATCCCGGGAAAAGCAAACCCAAACCCCCTCCTGGTTCAGGTCTGCCAGAGCCCCAGCAGCCCCAGCCCGGGCTGAGGATGGGCTCCAGAAGGACTCAAAGCTCTCTCCAGGGTTTTTTCCCCAAAAAAGAACCCGTGTTCTGCTGGAACAAGGGCTGTGGGGCAACAAACAGAAGCCAAAATTCCCCCTGGGAAGGGGCAGCTCTCCAGTGCCAGGCAGAGAGCGGAGCCAGGGCTGGAGGGGCACAGGAACCACAAACTGGACATGGGAACCCCAAACTGGACATGGGAACCACAAACTGGACATGGGAACCCCAAATCGCACACAGGAACCTCCTAACTGGACATGGGAGCCCCAAATCACACACAGGAACCTCAAACTGGACATGGGAACCCCAAACTGGACACAGGAACCTCCAAACTGAAAAAAAGAACCCCAAACTGTGCATGGGAACCCCAAACTGGACACAGGAACCTCCTAACTGGACACGGGAACCCCAAACTGGACATGGGAACCCCAAATCGCACACAGGAACCTCCTAACTGGACATGGGAACCCCAAACTGGACATGGGAACCCCAAACTGGACATGGGAACCCCAAGCTGGACATGGGAACCCCAAATCGCACATAGGAACCTCCTAACTGGACATGGGAACCACAAACTGGACATGGGAACCCCAAGCTGGACATGGGAACCCCAAAGTGGACATGGGAACCCCAAACTGGACATGGGAACCCCAAACTGGACATGGGAACCCCAAATCGCACACAGGAACCTCCTAACTGGACATGGGAACCTCAAACTGGGCATGGGAACCCCAAATTGGACACAGGGATCCCAAACTGGACACGGGAACCCCAAAGTGGACATGGGAACCCCAAAGTGGACATGGGAACCCCAAATTGCACATAGGAACCTCCTACCTGGACATGGGAACCCAAACTGGACACAGAACTACAAACTGGACATGGGAACCACAAACTGGACATGGGAACCACAAACTGGACATGGGAACCACAAACTGGACATGGGAACCACAAACTGGACATGGGAACCCCAAATCGCACACAGGAACCTCCTAACTGGACATGGGAACCCCAAACTGGACATGGGAACCCCAAGCTGGACATGGGAACCACAAACTGGACACGGGAACCACAAACTGGACACGGGAACCACAAACTGGACATGGGAACCACAAACTGGACATGGGAACCACAAACTGGACACAGGAACCACAAACTGGACACGGGAACCACAAACTGGGCATGGGAACCACAAACTGCACACAGGAACCTCCTACCTGGACATGGGAACCCCAAACTGGACACGGGAACCCCAAGCTGGACACGGGAACCCCAAACTGGACATGGGAACCCCAAACTGGACATGGGAACCCCAAACTGGACATGGGAACCACAAACTGGACACAGGAACCACAAACTGGACACGGGAACCACAAACTGGGCATGGGAACCACAAACTGCACACAGGAACCTCCTACCTGGACATGGGAACCCCAAACTGGGCATGGGAACCACAAATTGCACACAGGAACCCCCTAACTGGACATGGGAACCCCAAACTGGACATGGGAACCCCACATCGCACACAGGAACCTCAAACTGGACATGGGAACCTCAAACTGGACATGGGAACCACAAACTGGACATGGGAACCCCAAACTGGACATGGGAACCCCACATCGCACACAGGAACCTCCTAACTGGACATGGGAACCACAAACTGGACATGGGAACCCCAAATTGGACACAGAACTACAAACTGGACACAGGAACCCCAAACTGGACACGGGAACCACAAACTGGGCACGGGAACCACAAACTGGGCATGGGAACCCCAAGCTGGACATGGGAACCCCAAACTGGACATGGGAACCCCAAATTGGACATGGGAACCCCAAACTGGACATGGGAACCCCAAATTGGACATGGGAACCCCAAACTGCACACGGGAACCACAAACTGGACATGGGAACCCAAATTGGACACAGGGATCCCAAACTGGACACGGGAACCAAAACTGGACATGGGAAGCCCAAACTGGACATGGGAACCTCAAACTGGACATGGGAACCCCAAGCTGGACATGGGAACTCCAAACTGGACATGGGAACCCCAAATCACACACAGGAACCTCCTAACTGGACATGGGAACCACAAACTGGACATGGGAACCCCAAACTGGACATGGGAACCCCAAATTGGACACAGGGATCCCAAACTGGACACGGGAACCACAAACTGGGCATGGGATCCCCAAACTGGACATGGGAACCCAAATTGGACACAGGAACCTCCAAACTAAACAAAAGAACCCCAAACTGGACACAGAACTACAAACTGGACACAGGGATCTCCAAACTGGACACGGGAACCCCAAGCTGGACCCAGCAACCCCAGATTTACAGCCCCACCAAACCAGCCCTAGAAGGACACAAAACCAAGCCCGGATGCTCCCCCAGCACTCAGATGAACCCAAAGCTGTTGGGACCTGCCTGACCCTGAGGGAAAGAGCTCGAGATGTTCTCCTTGGTCCCAGCTGGGGCTGCTGCCCTCAGCCCTGGAGGCCTCTGCTCACCATCAGCCCCACAGGAGGCTGGGATAAGGGTCATCCTTGGAGGTGGAATGGGATGGGATGGGATAATGGGATGGGATAATGGGATGGGATGATGGGATGGGATAATGGGATGGGATAATGGGATGGGATAATGGGATGGGATGGGATAATGGGATGGGATAATGGGATAATGGGATGGGATGGGATAATGGGATGGGATGATGGGATGGGATGATGGGATGGGATAATGGGATGGGATAATGGGATAATGGGATGACTGCAGCCCTTGCTGGGTCTCTGCTGCCTCTGTGCCCAGAATCTCCAACATTCCCTGATTCCCTTCTCCCACTGCCTGTGTTCTGCACCTGAGCTGCCTCTGCTTACCTGGACTGCAGCAGCTGCCTAAAACCAGCCCTAGGAACCAGATTCTGCTCATTGTCACAGAATTCCCAGAATGACCAGGTTGGAAGGGACCTCCAAGAGCATCGAGTCCAACCCTGCCCCAACCCTGGCACCCAGAGCCACATCCAGGCTTTGTTAAACACACCCAGGGATGGGGACTCCACCACCTCCTGGGCAGACAATTCCAGAACTTTATCACCTTCCTGGAAAGAACTTTTCCCTAAAATCCAGCCTAAATTTCCCAGGAGCTGTGGGGAGTGCTGAGGTCACCCCTGAGTCTCCTTTTCTCCAGGCTGAGCACCCCCAGCTCCCTCAGGGGTTCCTCACAGGGTTTGTGTTCCCAGCCCCTCTCCAGCCTCGTTGCCTCCTCTGGACACATCCCAACGTCCTTCCCAAACTGAGGGACCAGAGCTGGGCACAGCCCTCGAGGTGTGACCTCACCAGTGCCCAGGACAGAATGACCTCCCTGCTCCTGCTGGCCACACCATTCCTGATGCAAGCCAGGAGCCTTCTTGGCCACGCTGCTGGCTCATGTCCAGCCTGCTGTCCATGTCCAGCCCCTCTGTCCCCAGCCAAGACCATTGCAGGGGGTTATTGTGGCCAAAATGCAGCACTGGGCCCTTGGATTTGATTGCCCTTACTCCTAATTTTGGATTTTATTTCTCCTGTTCTGTGGGAATCCAGGGCTTCTCTCTGGCTGCCCTGGCAGGGCTGGGACCCTGGCAGGGGTCAGGAACCCCCCTGGACAGAGCCCCCAGAGACACTGGCTGTGATCTCTGTCCATGGAGAGGAGTTTTCAATCTTACAGGATGAATTACCAGCTCTGAGTGTTTGATAAGAGTAATAATTAAGTGTGGCACTGGTGCAAAAGTAAAATTTTAGATTTCTAGATTAGGGGTTCAGAGGGGACAAGATGGAGGAAATTGGGTGTGTCTTGTCCTTTTTCTCCTTCTTCATGCCCTCCATGTTTCACTGTGGTGTTGGCATTTTTCTGTTGGTTCAGGCTGGGGACACACTGTCCAACGTAGGTGACAGATATTGGCACGTTATTGTAAATCCAGCACAGGTAGTTTGTGGTATTTAATGTTTGTACCATCCCACTGAGGGCAGAGCCCCACACGCTGCCCTGCAGGACAGAGCTGCGGCAGGGCAGCAGAACATGTTAGAGATAAACAGAATAAACAACCTTGAAACCAGCACAGACCAATTATGGCTTCTGCTTTGGCAGTGGGGCAGACAGAGACTTTCTGCAATCTCAGAATCACCAATACCCACAGATTCCAACACTGTTCTAGCTCAGCCTTCCCAAGGCACCAAGGGAAGCTCCAGGAACCATTTCCCACCTCACCGCCCGGATCCAGCTGCCACAGGCACTTGGAGGAGCATTTCCCAGATTTTCCCCCTGTTCCCCCTCTCCTGCAGCCAGGAGCTCTTTGCTGAGGGGTGCAGCTCCCCCAGTGCCAGGAGCAGGACAGGGGCAGGGAAGCAGTGACACCCCCAACATGCAGCACCCCACAAGCAGCACAAAGCCCCACATGCAAACCCAGCCCCACACAGGCAGCAGGGACAGGACAGGAGCTCCCAAGCCCCGGGGTTCCCAGTGGAGGCACGGGGAGAGCAGCAGGGGTTACTCCGGGGTTACTCCCAGGAGCAGCTCTGGATTAGGGAATGCCAGGGTGGGGTGTTAGGAGAGGAGCAGTGCTGGGTCTGGTCTTACCTTCTGCAGGTGGAGTGCAGCCCAAAAAAAGGAGAGAAAGACCCCTTTAACAACTTCAGCAAAACAATGAACTCATCATTGCACATCCCCTCCCCACTTCCAGCACAGCCACATCCCAGATTTGGGATCCCAGGGGAAGGAGGACACACCTGAGGAGGGACTCATCAATGCACAACATCCTCCCCCCTTCCAGCACAGTCAAATCCCAGGTTTGGGATCCCAGGGGAAGGAGCACATCCCCTCCCCCCTTCCAGCAAATCCAAATCCCAGGTTGGGATCCCAGGGGACAGAGCACATCCCCTCCCCACTTCCAGCAGTGCCAAGTCCCAGATTTGGGATCCCAGGGGAAGGAGGACACCCCCTCCCAATTCCAGCAGTGCCAAATCCCAGGTTTGGGATCCCAGGGGGAGGAGGACACCCCCTCCCCACTTCCAGCAGTGCCAAATCCCAGGTTTGGGATCCCAGGGGAAGGAGGACACACCTGCCAGGTGCCTCCAGCCCAGCTCCAGGGTGGAACCTTCACTGCCACCCTCACCCTGGGGATGTGTCCCATGTGGGAACACCGTGGAGTAGGAAGTTACCCCCTCCCTGTCCCCCTCTGCACTACTCCCAGCTCAGCATTGCACCCCAAACTCCCAGTTTAGTGCAGCTTAAAGGAGCTTCCTTATCCCATGGGCTCCCCAAGAATGGAAACCAGTGCCCATCTGGAGTGTTCCCCACAGCCCAGGGCACCCCAGTGCCTCACTCTGCACCAACCCTGCCACAGCAGCACCCCGAGGGGGATCTGTGCCTGCACACCAGGACTTTGGGGTTCCAGGAATGGGTGCAGGATCACGGGGAGATGCAGTTCAGGAGCCACACTGAGGGCCCAGGAGAAGCTGGGGATGGGGATCAGTCTGGAGGACACCACAAAGCTCTCAGAACACACTCAAGCTGACTAATTAACAGCTTTAATTAAAGGTCTATCGCCAGACCTGAGCTGCAGGAACATCAGAGACTGGGATGTGGTGAGTCCTGCCTGGGAACAAAATCCCTTTCCAGCTGTGGTTGCAGGAGCAGAGCACTGGTGCCCACAGGTCCTGCTCATCCCCAGGGAATGGGAACCAGCAGCTCCTGGTCCAGACAGGAGCACACAGAGAAGCTCCTCCCTCTGAGTTCAAATTTAAATGGTTTTGGGATCCTCTCTGTGCTCCAGAACCACAAGCCAGCTTGTACTGAACTGAGGGAATTTTTTGGGGCCTCAGCTCTGGTGTTTTCCAGGAGGGAGAGCCAAGCTCTGAGGTTCCTCACCTACAGAGGGTTCCAGCCCACACTCCTCCGTGCAACAGAGAAAATTTCTCTGCAATTTTATCTTGGGGAAACAGCAAAAACTGCTACAACCAGGCTGGGCTGGGGTGGGAGAAGGGGAATATTCTGTCAGTTATGGATTTCACACCTTTGGAAATGCACAGGGAAACCTGATGGGTTTCTCCTACACACAATAATTGTATTTCATCCTCCCTGACAGTGGCAGCAACCCAACCTTTCTGTGGCAATGCTCTTGCTGATATATTACATTTCAAACCAACATTTTGCCCTACATTTATTAACTATGGGTTCTACCAACTCATCTCTGTGTTCTGCACAGACACTGAGTGGTTCAGAAGTCAGCCCTTGTCCCCAGTCCCTCTGCAGCTCTCCTGGAGCACTTCAGGCCCTGCCAGGGGCTCTGAGCTCTGTCTGGATCCTTCTCCTCTCCAGGGGAACATTCCCGGGGCTCTGAGGATTCCCTGGATCCTCTCCAGGTGAGCACCCCCAGCTCTCCCAGCCCGGCTCCAGCCCTGCAGCAGCTCTGGGGGCTCCTCTGGGCTCTCTCCAGCAGCTCCAGGTGTATATAAATTTTGATGTATTTGAGGTGTATTGATGTAATTGAGGTATTGAGTGTATTTGTATATAAATTTTGATGTATTTGAGGTATATTGATGTAACTGACGTATTGAGTGTATTTATATATAAATTTTGAGGAAAGAAATGTTGATTTAGAAATGTTATGGAATAAGATAGATATTGTTGAGAGAGAAATGGAAACAGAAATAAGTTTTAAAGGATGCAAAAAAGAAAATGTAAAAAAATGTCCCACTGGGACAGTGGGAGATGTCCCTGCCATGGCAGGGTGGGAATGGGATGGGATTTAAGGCCCCTTCCCACCCAAACCACCCTGGGATTCTCTGATTCCCTCTCTGTTCCAAACACCACCAGTGAAAAGGGAAATTTGGTTTTTGTGCCTTTTTTCCCCCCCTCAAAAAGTGGTTCAAGGGCCTGTTTTGGTTTACGGCAGAAATTTTTGGATATTTGAGTGAAGCAGCCAGAGCAAGCTGTCTGCTCTCATCTCAGAGATGGAGTCTGCTTAGATTATTTTATTTCCTCATTTAACCATTATTTGGGCAAAAGCAGCTCCTGTGTTCGGCCAGAGGCTCCCAGGATGGTGCTCTACATAAAATCCAGGGGAAAAAAAAAAAAAAAAAAAGAGTATTATTGGCTGTTGAGAGGAAAAGCCAGCAGAGATACCTTCCAAAAAGCTCATTTCCATCAGATGCTCTTACACTGATCTTAACACGCCCAGGGAGACCAAGGGAATCCAAGAACAAATTGAAATTTCTGATTTTAGAAGTGACTCCTCAGCAGCCAGAGTGACTCCCGTTGCTGCCTCAGTGCCCCTTATCCCTGGCAGGAACATCCCCAGCTGGCTGCTGCTCCAGCCCTGTCCCTCCCTGGCAGTGCCAGCCTCCCCCAGGGCACACAGCTGGCACGTGGGGCAGGTCCTGCAGCCCCCCCAGGGGCGTTTTTCCATGGATTCCATGGAAAGGATCCCATGGGAAGGATGCAAGCACGGCCTGCAGGCTCTCCAGGGAGCAGGGCAGCCTGTCCCAGCAGGCAAACGGGGAGAAGGGGGGACAGATCACACAAAAAGGGGAGTTTGGGATGTCTGAGGAATGCAGACTCAACTCCTCTGAGTCCTGGCCTCACCTTCACAAATATCACCACTGAAATCCCCTGAGTAACAGGGTAAAATCCTAATTACAGCTGAGCTCAGCCAGCATCCCCCTGGGCTCTGCACTGCTACTAAACAATCTTGGGAAAGCCCTGCTCTCATCCCAACCCCCCCAAACTGTCCTGAACGTGGCAGCAATCCCCCAATCCCTGATTTCCTGCAATTCCAAACCCTCCAGACCAGACCTGGAGCTTCCAAGCCCTCTGAGCTCTCCCCCAGCAGCTCCTGCCCAGGGACTGTCCTGGAGAAGAGGAAAACCACCCCACTGGGCTCCCCATCCCTCTGCCTCCTCCCCAGGCTGGGGGAAGGCCACTTGTCCCTCCCAAACCTCTCCTGAGCTGGGATTTCCAAAAAGCTGCAGTGAAAGGTGGTGTGAACTCATCACTCCCGTCCCCTCCCAGGCTGGGCAGCTCCAACCCACAACAAACACACCCCAAAGTCCCAGCTGGCAGGGTTTTGGGGTGAGGAGCTGTGTGGGAGTGCTCTGCCCCCAAACTAATCTGCACTTGGGTTTGTCTAACAGCCAGCTGCACTGGGAACAGACTCAGCCCCTCAGCCCCTGCCAGAGGCTCTCCTGAACTCCCACATGAGAGCTCCACACCTCACCTGGCAGCTTTTATTCCTCCCTGCCAGGAATCCTCATTTAATAAAAGCTGCTTTGTGTCAAGCCTATCTTGTCATGGCCTATGCCTGACCAGAAGCCCAACTCAGCACAAATCCTGGCCCTGACTGCAATTTAATTGCTTCAAATGTGACCATCCTTCAGCTTTTAACCTAAAGAAAGCCTTATTACACCAAAATAATGTCTATCTAAATAGACACATTTGTATTTCAAATATATATTATAAATATGTTTATTTATATATATGTTTATAAATGTATATTTGTTTATATATAATTTATAGTTCTATAAGTTAAATATACAAAATATATATTTGAAATATCAAAGTAATAATGAAAAGCAAAGGTCCCTGCCAGCACCCCAGTGTGGCCAAGGGGAAGAGCTAAAACTGGAGTTTCCCACCTGGCTGCTCCCAAAAACACCTTCCTTCAGAGAGGAAAACAACTCCCAGAGCTGAGCCCAGCCCCACATCAGCTCTAAAAGGAGGAGGGTGAGAAGGATAAAAGGCACAGCTGCATTTATGCTCTGCTTTTTTTGGCTGTTTGTCCAAAATCTGCCCTGAGCAGGCACAGACTGGATCTTCTGAGTCCCACCTGGGCTCCTGCCTGGGGCTCTGCCCCCAAACCACGGGATTTTAGTAAAAAGCTTCATCAGGGTCAATGCTGGCTGTTTGCTGCCCTTGTGCTCTGCCATCAGGCTGACCAGTGAGCTCCAGGCTGACCAGTCCATTTCCAGTCTGACCAGTGCCTCTCCAGGCTGACCAGTGAGCTCCAGGCTGACCTGTCCATTTCCAGTCTGACCAGTGCCCCTCCAGGCTGACCAGTGCCCCTCCAGGCTGACCAGTCCATTTCCAGGCTGACCAGTGCCCCTCCAGTCTGACCAGTCCATTTCCAGTCTGACCAGTGCCCCTCCAGTCTGACCAGTGCCTTTCCAGTCTGACCAGTGCCCCTCCAGGCTGACCAGTCCATTTCCAGTCTGACCAGTGCCCCTCCAGGCTGACTGAGCTGCAGTTGGTGAATTTGGTTTAACTTTGTCTAGTTTTTAACACTGTCTGCCTGGTTTAACAGTGCCTGGTTTAACAGTGCCTGGTTTAACAGTGCCTGGTTTAACACTGCCTGGTTTAACCCTGCCTGGTTTAACCCTGCCTGGTTTAACCCTGCCTGGTTTAACCCTGCCTGGTTTAACAATGTCTGGTTTAACAGTGCCTGGTTTAACAGTGCCTGGTTTAACAATGTCTGGTTTAACAGTGCCTGGTTTAACAGTGCCTGGTTTAACAGGGCCTGGTTTAACAATGCCTGGTTTAACAGTGCCTGGTTTAACAATGCCTGGTTTAACACTGCCTGGTTTAACACTGCTTGGTTTAACAATGCCTGGTTTAACACTGCCTGGTTTAACACTGCCTGGTTTAATTAACAGTGCCTGGTTTAACAGTGCCTGGTTTAACACTGCCTGGTTTAACACTGCCTGGTTTAACACTGCCTGGTTTAACACTGCCTGGTTTAACAGTGCCTGGTTTAACACTGTCTGGTTTAACAGTGCCTGGTTTAACAGTCTGTCTAGTGTTTAACCCTGTCTAGCACAGAAATGCAGCTGCCCCCAAAGCCTGGCTGTCCCTTCCTCCCTCTGGTCACTCCCCAGGAGCTGAATGAGCTCCCCTGGGATCCCTGTGATGGATAAATCCCACATTTCCCAGAGCTGACAGTCCTGGGAGCTAATCCCCAGCTCCAGTGGGACAGCACAGCTCCTGCAGTGGCCCCTGACTATTTCCTGCAAAGCACAAGGATTGCTGCATCCAGCTGGCAAAGGGGAGTGGAAAACACAATTAAGCCAAATTTAGGATGGCTGCTTAATTCCAAAATAGATAAGCAAGCCCAGCCCATCCTCTTTATGCCCCTCTCTTTTCCTTTGCTCTCAGAAAACTGAAGAAATGCTTTGCCCTTCACATGGATTGCTGCTCCTCACTGATCCCTGTGGGAGAGCTGATTCCCACCAGGATTCCAGGGCTTTGGAACCCAGCTGAGCAGCTCAGGAGCTGCCCTGTGGCCACACCAGATGGGTTTCATGGAGCTGGCTCTGCTCTGCCCAGCATCCCACCAGACTGCTCCAGGGACCAGGAGTGTCCCTGAGGAATAACCACACCCCCCTGCAGGTAACACAAGGGAGAACAGCACCTGGAATCCAGTTTTCCAGATAAAAATCTTTAATGAGGCTGCTCTGTTACTCCCTGGGTAACTCTTAAGTCAAACTGACTATTCACTTCTTTTTTAAAGCAGAAATTAAAAATTGTTACGTGTCCTTCAGTCCCTGAAGCCCCTGACCAGAGCTGGTTTATCCTATAAAGGAACTTTTTTTTTATCCTCTAAAGGAGCTGCAGCCAAGTCCTTTTTTTTTATCCTATAAAGGAGCTGCAGCCAAGCCCTGCACACCTGGGAATCAGGGATGACCTAATCCAGCTCACTGGGGAAAAGCACTTGGGAACTGTTTGGAAACAGGATCCAGATTCCAAACCTGAAATATTTCAGCCCCAAAACTCCTCAGGAGCTGAGGGTTAGCAGCAAACTGCACCAAGCTGGAACCAGGGCATCACTGGGTTTTCCTGCTTAACTCAACTCACCTGATTTCCTTAAGTCCTTCTTTCTGGATAACTTGAAGGATCTCCTTATGGCTCATGGGTGTGTTGGGATATTTCTCCAGGACCTGGCAAGAAAGAGCAGATCGAGAGGAAATTACTCCTTTGCATTCTGAATTTCCATTCAGCTGCACCAAAACCTCCATTTCATGGCAGTTATTCCTTTGCATTCTGAATTTCCATTCAGCTGCACCAAAACCTCCATTTCATGGCAGTTATTCCTTTGCATTCTGAATTTCCATTCAGCTGCACCAAAACCTCCATTTCATGGCAGTTATTCCTTTGCATTCTGAATTTCCATTCAGCTGCACCAAAACCTCCATTTCATGGCTTGCACTTCTGCAAGGACACAACCCAGGGACAACTACAGACCCTCCACACCTGCCCAGCAGCCCCTGAAGGAGCAGAGAGGTTTCAGAGGTTGGCTAAAGGAGTTTTCTCAGTGCAATTCCCATTTTATTTCCTCAGACAGCACTTCCTGCAGAATGAAATGCTCCTGCAGCTCCCCAGGCAGGAACTGCACTGGGAATGCTGCAGGAACTGCCCAGTACCTCAGCCACGCTTCCAACACTCCAAATCCTCCTGCTGACCTTCAGCAGCGTGGCTGGAAGTGCTAAAGCTGAAGGAAATGGGGTTTGACACTGCTGGGGTGTTCCTTTTAGCTCACAGCTGCACCTCATTTCTGTTTCTTCAGGGAGGTCCCAACCTCAACAATCAATATTGGGTTTTGGGGGTTTTTTCTGCCTCTGTTGAGGTCAGGATTGAAAGTACTTGAGATGATGGTTCACAGTCAGAGCCAGGTGTTTATTATTTTTTATTTATGTTAAGGTCTCACAGCAGTGAGTTCTGCAGTCTTTCACTAACAAGGCACACAATGGCCATCTCTTGGTACAGGGTCTTTTAAGGCTAAATTATCTAATTAAGAAATGACACCTAGATTATTTTCACTGTTAACCCAATAACTGATCCCTCAAAGTATTTTCTGTCCAATTACAAAATACCACCCAAACCCTGGAGAAGAAGAAGCCACTGCCCTAAAACCTCCATCTCAGCTCTCAATATATTACTATATTCTAAAACCCCAAACTCTAAGTTTTCCACCCTGTGACATCACACACTTCTAACCAACTCCACACCCACAATGGCACACGTCACTGGGATATTTCAGGCCGAATTTGTGCTGGGGAGGAGGATGGGCAGGAAATGTCTGGTTTCCTCTAAACCATCAGCTTCTGACCCCAGCCCAGCACATCAAAGCCAGGCCTGGCTCAGGCTCAGCCCAGAGTGCTCAGCACAAAGCCCAGGGTGACTCTGCAGAAGGAGAGGAGCAGCTCCTATTCCTCCCTCCAGCAGAACCCACAGCCCTGCAGGACCTGGCCCTCATTCCCTCAGGAACAGCAGATATCCCAGCAGGGCATCTATCCCAGCAGGACATCCATCCCAGCAGGGCATCCATCCCAGCAGGACATCCATCCCAGCAGGGCATCCATCCCAGCAGGACATCCCAGTCCAGCTCTCCTGGGAAGGCTCTGCCAGGCCCTGCTGAGCTGCAGCACCTCCCTGCTCCCAGAACAAATCCTTCCTTTCAGCTCTGGAGGCTCCAGCTGATGGCCCCATGTTAGAAACTCTCTTAAGTGATGTTAAAACTGTCCCAATGTCACCATTGTCCCAATGTCACCACTTCCCGTCGTCACCACTGTTCCCATTTCCCACCACGGAATGGTTTGGGTGGCAAGGGGCCCTAAAGCCCATCCAGTGCCACCCCTGCCATGGCAGGGACACCTTCCAGCACCCCAGGTCACTCCAAGCCCCATCCAGCCTGGCCCTGGGCACTGCCAGGGATCCAGGGGCAGCCCCAGATGCTCTGTAAGATGTGAGTGGGGTTTATTTTCACTTTTAGCCCAATAACTAATCACTCAAAGCCTCACACTCCCACTCACCCCAGCTCTGCTGTAAGCCCACAGCAGAAGGATCCAGAGCTGGGCTGTTTGCAGAGTGATCTCAGCCAGGCCAGTGCAGGTTTTGGTTTCCATCACCCCCTGGGCTGTGCTCATCCTCACCAGCCTGGAGCTGCATCCGAAGCTGGCAGCCCAGGGAAGGCCAGAAATGAAGGATACCTCCATTTCCATCCTCCATTTCACCTTTTCAGTGCAGCTGGTGAAATCAGGAGAGGAGTGAAGCAGTGCTGAGAGCCCATCCCCAGGGCACTCAGGGCCATTTCCACCACACCAAACTCTGCTGGGCATTTTCCTCGTGGGCACTGTGCCATCCCAGCTTTCCCTCCCTGCATGTGGCTCAGCCTGGAGCAGCAGCAGCAGCACAATTGATTAATTTGTCACCAGGCACCCCCAGTGAAGGCTGTGTTCCACCAGGGAACCTCAGCCAGGGCAGAGCTGCTCCACTTCTGTGGGAATCCAGAGCTTCCCTCTGGCTGCCCTGGCAGGTCTGGGACCCTGGCAGGGGTCAGGAACCCCCCTGGACAGAGCCCCAGAGACACTGGCTGTGATCTCTGTCCATGGAGAGGAGTTTTCAATCTTACAGGATGAATTACAAGCTCTGAGTGTTTGATATCAGTAATAATTAAGTGTGACACGGGTGCAAAAGTAAAATTTTAGGATTCTAGATTAGGGGTCCAAAGGGGACAAGATGGAGGAAATTGGGTGTGTTTTGTCCTTTTTCTCCTTCTTCATGCCCTCCATGTTTCACTGTGGTGTTGGCATTTTTCTGTTGGTTCAGGCTGGGGACACACTGTCCAACGTAGGTGACAGATATTGGCACGTTATTGTAAATCCAGCACAGGTAGTTTGTGGTATTTAATGTTTGTACCATCCCACTGAGGGCAGAGCCCCACACGCTGCCCTGCAGGACAGAGCTGCGGCAGGGCAGCAGAACATGGTAGAGATAAACAGAATAAACAACCTTGAAACCAGCACAGACGAATTATGGCTTCTGCTTTGGCAGCGGGGCAGAAAGACAGAGACTTTCTACAATCTCAGAATCACCAATACCCACAGATTCCAACACTTTTCTCCAGGCTCAGCCCCTTCCCAGCTCCCCCAGCCCCTCCTGGGGCTCCGTTCCCTTCCCTGGACACGCTCCAGCCCCTGCAGGTCTCTCTTGTCCTGAGTGTCCCCCATGATGGACTCAGGATGTGTTTCCATAAGTCAGGTGGACCCCAGAACCCCCAAAGCACACAGGTGGTTCCTACAACCCCCCAAAGCACACAGGTGGATCCCAAAACCCCCAAAGCACACGGGTGGACCCCAGAACCCCCAAAGCACACCAATCTCAAAGCACAAGGCACAGAGCCCAGCACTGGGCTGCACTCCCTGACCCTGGAGGCCATTCCCACCCTCCCTGGCTCTGTGGCTAACCCTGCTGCTGTCCTGGCCCAGCATCAGAGCTGCCTGTGCTGGGTGAGCCCAGCCCTGGGGACAGCCAGAGCAGGTGCCAGCCCCAGATCAGGGGCACTGCCCTGATAAGAGCCTCAGCTGTGCTCTCCAGGAAATGTTTCTTAGCAGCTCTCAGCCTCCCAGATAAACCAGGCACTTCACACCTCCAGCTGCAGCAGCTGCCTGACAGGCCGGTCCAGAAGAACCAGGAGTGAGGATTAATCAACAAAACAGATACACCTTTAAAGAATTAATACACCTTAAGTACCTTCTCCCCTCTCCTCTGCCCTTTGAATCCCATCCCAGACCTTCACCAGAGTCATTTTTAGTCACTGTGTGTAAATAAATAAGACAGAGTCTGAGAGGAAACTCGGCTCATTGTTAACCAGAAACATTAACCCTGGACTGGTTTGGTGGGAAGGGAGTCTAAAGCTCACCCAGTGCCACCCCTGCCATGCAGGGACACTTTTCCCTGTCCCAGCTGCTCCCAATGTCCAGCCTGGCCCTGGGCACTGCCAGGGGCAGCCACAGCTGCTCTGGGCACCTGTGCCAGGGGAGCTCTCCCTACAACAATTATCTGTTTTATCACTCCTCACTCAGTATCCTGAACCCCGTCCTGGTCCAGGAATCACGGAATGGTTGGGGCTGGAAGGGACCTTAAAATCACCTCGTTCCAACCCCTGCTGGCCCAGGTTTCTGCTTCCAAAAAAAACAGGATCACCAGGGGAAAATCCATTTCCTCACTTTATGCCTTGGTTGGGTTTGGAAGGCTTTCCCCATCCCAATGATTCTTCCAACCCCTTTTAATTCTGGTTTTGCTGAACTCCAAGTTCACTTTCTGCTTCCTGCTGCCCAGAGGATCCCTCCTGCTCTGGCCGTGCTGTCCACTGGCACTTCCAAACTTTGGAACAGAATTCCCAAAGGAAAAAGCTGCCCTTCCACCAACTCCCACAGGGATGGGCACGGAGCCCCAGGGATGGGCACGGAGCCCCAGGGATGGGCACGGAGCCCCAGGGATGGGATTGGAGCCCCAGGGAGGGGATTGGAGCCCCAGGGAGGGGATTGGAGCCCCAGGGAGGGGAATGCAGCCCCAGGGAGGGGATTGGAGCCCCAGGGAGGGGCACGGAGCCCCAGGGATGGGATTGGAGCCCCAGGGAGGGGATTGGAGCCCCAGGGATGGGCACGGAGCCCCAGGACACCAGGGGGACACACAGGACACCACAGTGACAGGCAGGACACTGTGGGGACACACAGGACATCACAATGAAAGGCAGGACACCGTGGGGACACACAGGACACCATGGGGACAGGCAGGACACTGTGGGGACACACAGGACACCACGGGGACAGGAAGGACGCCATGGTGACACATAGGACACCACGGGGACACACAGGACACCACAGGGACAGGCAGGACACTGTGGGGACACACAGGACATCACAGTGACAGACAGGACACCATGGTGACACACAGGACACCATGGTGACACACAGGACACCAGGGGGACAGACAGGACACCACGGGGACAGGCAGGACACTTTGGGATCACACAGGACATCACAGTGACAGACAGGACACTGTGGGGACACACAGGACACCACGGGGACAGACAGGACACTGTGGGGACACACAGGACATCACAGTGACAGACAGGACACCGTGGTGACACACAGGA